CAAGTGTGTGTGTGTGGGCGCGTAGGCGTCTCGTGTGCATGCAGTAGGTAGCTGTAGGTGTGTACTCGTGTGTACTGTATTTAGGTGTTCTTGTGTGTTTGCAGTGCTGTGTGCACGGTGTGTGGGTGAGTGCGTGCGCACGGGTGTGTTTTTGTTTGTGTTTGTGCGTGTAGCCGCTGCCTTACTGGGGTCAATACATCATTCAAACCTCACGCGAGAACATCCTATCGCTAGCCCGCAAACTGGCAGGCACCCCAAACCGACCTGCAGCCGTGAATTGCCATAGGATCACATCCATATTGCTGCATTCGCTTTCGCGTCATGCAAACACGCTCGTGCGTCAGCAGCTGCCCAGGTGGATGTTGTCTCCTCCATGGCTTTGCCAAAGATTGCGGAGATGGTGAGGTGCGCCCTGGACGTATCTTGGAGGTTCCCGTACTTTGAAGGCCGGGTTAGTTAACCGTTAGTTTGTCATGAATCGATTCCCGCGCAGAATTCACCCATTGAAGCGGGCAACATATTTGCTTGCTGTGCGGCATAGATGCAACGGGAGCGCGGTTAGAAGGAGCAGCATGTCTACTTTGTCGCTTTGAAGAATTGTTGGGGTCTGAATGGGCACGATGGCTGAGACACTACTGAGTTACTGGGCTGTTTTGCTGTATGAAATCCATTGTTTTGAGCTTGACTTTTCTTGAAAACGGGCAGGCTTTAGCATTGATGCCTTCTCGGTCAAGCCGCCATTTGTGCTTGACAATCGCCCATTACTTTGCAAACACCGTTGTGGGAGCCCGCGTTTCAACGCAGGTGGACATAGTGCAGGTGCATTGAAGAGTTGCCTTGGTGTCGATGAATGTGTGTTAACGTGCTTTCATTCTTTGGATTGATGGGCAGTCAGTTGCTGTTTCTTCCCGCGTGTCCGGTTGGCATTGGCAGGACGCGGCAAGTACCACGCTTCCAGCTCTTGGAAGATGTTCGCCGGATAGCCAAGATTGCGCGCTGGTGCCTGAACTAAGCAGGTTGTCACCAAACAGCAGCGCAGCGGAATGTTTTGCTGGAGTCTTTTTCTAGGATGCCAAGATTTGCCAGTTTCTTCCATGGGTTAGTGTTCAGGCTAGGTTCAGGCCCGGCACCATTAAAAATCCCCAATATCGTTTTCAACATCAAACATCCTCTCAGCGTCACCAAGCTTTGGTTTAGGCTAGGTTCCAGGTTGGCTCAGGGTCGGCCCCGGGCGGGTTCCAGGCGTTCCAGGCCAGTGCTTGAGGTGGATGGTTGAGGTAGCCGGTTATGGTTCTTGGGGTTGGTCTAGGGCGGGTCTAGGGTGGGTTTAGGGCTGGTTCAGGGTGGGTTTAAAGTTGGCTTTGGTCCTGGTTGTTTAAGTGGGCTTAGGGTGGTTCATGGTGGGTGTAGGGTGGCTTAAGCATGGTTTCCGTTGTCATCTAAGAATTGACCCTAAACCTACCCCAAAGCACCCTAAACCCACCCCCACTTTTGTCCAGTGTCTAGACTGCCCGAAGCCCGCCCTTGACCCGCCCTCAACCGACCCTAAGCTTGCCGCAAACCTAGCTCAAACCCAGCCTAAACCTACCTGAAACCTACTTAAATACCGCCCTTTCGTGCGCGCCAGGCTGTGCCAGGGTTAGTCTAATGCCAGGGCTAGGCCAAGAAAATCACCTCAGCCGATGACAACTTGAGCCCTTCCCAGCTGATTTTGCCCTGAATGGCTTGCAGCCAGAGGTTAGTTGTAGAATTTTGTGCCTCAGGCTTACTAAGGCTGTCGCAATTACGCACCCTGGCGCGACCAAGGTTTTGTTTGAACCAGCTAAGCACTTAGAGTGCTATTTTCACAGTCTTATGCTTTTTTTTTTTTTTTTCCGGTTTGAGGTGTGATTGCCAATGTTCCGGTCCATTTGTCCTAGGCACTTCACCGGTGCCGGGCATACGGGAAAGCAACACCTGCAGTGAGGATGGGCAAAGGTTCCTCGAGTGCTGCTGCTCCACCAAAGTGGGCTGCAGGCGGGCGAGCTGTCGGAGGTCGCGAAGGTCTATTGAGGCAAAGGTCCATGAAGCATTGGCGCGGGTGAGGAATGCAGGGACGCCAGACTGCTGTCCCTGGTGTGATGTTGAGTGGATGCTGTCTGAAGCATGTCATTGAGTTGGACTTTCGTGATGAATGTTGAGGTCTGCCACCTCAAGCAGCAATCACAAGCAATTACAATCATCTCTTTCCGTGTATCTTGGTGTTCTCCCTTAGGGTGGCATTAGGTTGGTATGCGCGTCACCTGACTGCCAGCTGGACATCATCAGCATGGAGGGCCAACAGTCTCATGAGCGGGATGAGGCCATGATCACCTGCTCCACGACCTGTGCTATGGACATGCGGATGTGGTGGTCAAAACCGTTCTGGGATCCCATTTTGGTTGGCAAGTGAATTCGCCACCCATTCTAGAACCTATTTTAGTGGTTGGATTGGGATGTTCACTGGGGGTACGGGGTTTTGACCCATGGCCTGTAGCTTAGCGCCTTGGGGAGGCTTTGGCCTGATTTGCGGGTGTGGGACTTTGCGCACTTCCAGGTTTCCGGTTACTTGTCAACATGGAAGTTGAACCGCGGCTTGTCCTGGCCTTGTTGGTTGTCACAACTTCGCTTGCGGTAGTGTCAGCCAGGTGACCCACCTGTTGCTTGATGCGTGCTCGGTGGCACGTGACCTTGTTCTTTTGATCGGGCAGTGGGCGGCGGGCTGAGCGCCGCTTGCACAAAGCACCGGCATGTTGGAGCAATCATCTATGTTGCATGCGGTATTTCTCTAAGCCAGGTGAACATGTTGAAGCGCCACACTGTGGACGCCAGCCTGGCTATTCTGCAAGGGCAGTTTCTGCGATCTTCCAGTTGTTTTAAAGAGCTCCACTTCTCCAAGTGCGATGAACATCGCACGACTTGTTTTTTTTCCGCAGGGGCAACGGATGGTTTGCTTGCGTAACGTGCCTTGGTTTGCTTGATGGCGGCGCATGAGCTCGCGGCTGAGGCTCATGCGCATGGTGCGGTGATGCCCCCGAAGCAGGGCCGCAAGCTTAGGGGCGACAGGGTCCGGATTGACCAGCTTGGTTTGCCAGGGAAGCCACGCGTATTCCCATATGGCTGTGGCTCAAAACCAATGGGATCCCATTTTGGGGTAGGTGAATTCACCGCCCATGTTAGAGCCCATTTTAGTGGTTGGATTGGGTCCCGTGCACTGGGGGATAACCGGGATTTTCACCAAAGCCGGTTCCATTGGATCAGGATCCGGGGATCCGCGCTTCGAATTCGGTGGATATGCTGCAGTTCAAGGTTTCCCCAACACCTACACCTTCCGCATGATTACCTTCCACTACCTCATGATCCGTCCAGCCGGGTCTGCCACTCAGACAAGGGTGGGGCTCTCTGAATCTCTGGCCTGATTTTCCGAAACAGGTGCATCAATCCGGCGCTTCAAGGATCACAGCGTTTAACTTCATGGCTTCCAGCGTGAAACTCAAAGCTTTCACCCCTTGCCCCTGGCTTACAGGGCACTTGAAATCGGTGCCGCCAGGTCCCTTCTGCCAGTTCCTTAGTCCGCGAGGGCGAGGGGTGCCCTTGCAAAGTGGCTTGTGCTTTGTGAGCGAACGGGGCCGCGAAAGCCCATCTAAAGACCCCTGCCCTACCAATGCCAGGGCGACTAAGTTGGTTTTTGAGTCGAGATGCTGAAGGATGGGTCGATCGACTCGATTTTGGCTGACGACCCTTACAGCCGTCAGCTTGTTCCCCAGTGCTTTCACCTGCGAGGCCCGCCATGGACATCACTGGCCCGCGTTTGAGGCAGCATGCTAGGCCTGCACTAGTTTGAGCACGCGAGCGACCCCATGACATGATGCCGTAGCTGTCAATGCGAGGTTTGGGCGTGGGTCAAAATTACACCACAGGAATTGGACCGCGGCTAGTCCATGTTTCCATTTGCTAGGGTCCATTTTGGGGTTACCCTATTTTTGACCCACCGTTTCATGGGTGTTTGCTGCCTTGCCTTTGGCCAGGGAGCCCTGTCATTGTGCTTCAGCGAGCGCGCCGGAGCTCTTCAAGGAGTGGCTTCGATGCCCGGACTGAAGCAAGCCGGCTGGCACAGGCCGACGCGTCAGGTGAACCTTGTTTCTTTGTTTGCAACTTCCAGTTGGCCAACATGTCCACAAGGGTGTTTCTCAATTTGGGGCATCATTTCAGGTAGGTGGTTTTCTTTTGGTTTCCCAAAAAAAAGGCGAGCCCCCATATTTGGAGACATACCCACAAGAGTTTCTTGAAACGCTTGAAAGCGATTTTTTGTGCATTCTGTCTGCGGACGTTGGCTGCCTGGCTAAGGACATTTGGCGCACGCCAGGGGCCCGTTGGACGATTATGGCGGCCTTTTCATTGGACCACGACGACATGGGGCCGGCATAGAAAGTATATAATGAGTATATGCTATATTACGTAATATATGTAAATCCAGTAAATGCAAACATACATATAAATATATATATATATAGATTAGCAAGAACAAAGCAAAGACGCAGTGGCGCGGAGCAACACATTGAAGGTGTGTCCAGGTGGTTGTGATGTTTGCCAAGACCAGTGAAGAGTCGCTGTTGTTGCGACTCAAGTTACGGCTGGCATGAGCTTCCGGGCTGCGTGCCTTTGCGCAGCAACTCGTTCATAGCGATTCTCTGACAGGTAAGTGGCCACTGAGATTTTGGAAATGTGACAAGTAGGGGAACCCTAAAATGGTGGTTCCTTTTGGTTTCCCTTTGAAACCGCCCCAAAAGGGTACCCTCACCCATTTGCCGGCTTGCGTGTGTCCAGCTTGAACGGCTGATCGCCTCAGCACGAAATAGCATCACAACTTCATACCATGCCATGAGCGCCCACCCGAGCAGTTTTGCCCGCCCAAATTTTCATGCGCAGAACAAGTGCTCGCCAATAAGAGCAGTGCCTCAACGCCAGCACTCGACAAATCGCTGGGCGTTTGCCCTATTTCGTCGCCAAAAAGGAAACCGCCATGGCCCGGCTGCTGCTGTTGCTCCCCCTGGCCGCTGCGCTGCAGCAGCTGAATGACGAGACCTTCGAGCACCAGACGCAGGCGGCCTTACACAAGAGCCATTCTCTGGGTTTGATACAGGGCTCCTTAAAAGATACATTTTGCCCATTTGAAACCTTTTTGTTTCCACCAAAATAAAGGGAAACCTCCATTTACAAGGCAATGTTCAGGTGTATAATGTAAGGATCCCTGTATTGGACGGACCATGTTCGGACCTGGGGAGAGGAACGGGCTGGGCCAGGCCGCAACGGGCATGACCACCGGCAGCTGGTTTGTGGCCTTCGGCGCCAAGGGCTGTGAAGCCTGCGAAACGGCACTGGAAGCTTTGGAGAGTGCCGAGGAGGACGGCCGCGCCGAGTGTCACGAGTCCTTGCACAGGAACCGACTGCATGTCGAGAACGCCAGGCTGTATTGGTTTTGCATGTGTGGTGGGACAGACAGCTTCTTATTCCCAGCCATCCAGCAGGATTTATAGATCCATTGATACAAGACACGCGCAGCTTGAATGACTCATGTTTTTTGTTTTACAAGCGTAAGTATGCCGGCAAGAGTTTGAATTAAACATTGTAAACTCAGCTGGGGATCCCTCATGTTGGCATGTTGGTGGTCAAGGTTTGGATGTATGGGGCCCCTTCAGAGTCAAGGGCAAGCACCTTGAAACGTCGCCTGGTTCTTAGCTATTCAGGAGCTGCGGGAGAGCTACGTGATCCCTGCCCACGTGGCAAAAGAGGAGGGCTCGTCAATTTGGGCGCGATCAACACTGCCAGTTTTCTGGAGGGTGCCGTTTTGTTTTTTTTACACCTCGGTTGTCCCCCACTTCATGCATGGAGCAGTGCTACATGATCTTGCCAGCAAGGGAGCAATGTCGCACCGTTAGCTGTTTCGTCACCTGCCACTGGCTCCGACCCAAGCCAAGGGGGCGAACGCAAGCTGCTTGGATGTTTGTTCAGACCGGCAACTCAGAAGTGAACAGATACCACAATGGCATTTGTGTCAAGCGATGCAATGCTGAAATGAGCAATCGAAGGCGTGGGATCCGGTCGCAGGACAGCAATGAGCTTTGGAAGCGGTTCAGCATCAAGGAGGCTCATTTCGTCTCATGATGTGTTTTGTGAGCTGGTGCCCTTTTTCAGGCTTTTGTTTGCGGCTTGCCAAGTGCACTGAGGGCGCGGCGCTTTGAGGGGGGGGGGTGAAAAGCAAGTCCAGATAGAACGGACTCAAAAGAAAAGGTTCGGCCCCAAAAGCAAAACAGCCTACTGAAAAGGAGACCAGACTCAGATAGACTCAGCAAAGACAACTATTCTTGGGGTACCGTTATCGCTGAGAACTGCCAACACAAACGGTTGGAGAAGTTTCCGCTGGATTGTGGAACGTTGTTATGCCTTGACGTGTGCAGCATGTGCCATGAGTTGGTGCATGTTCAGCCCCGTGCTTTTGGACAGCACGTCATGTTCTGCGGATTCTGCGGGGTGGGCCTTGTGTTTTGCAGAGTTTGTGGCCATGGAATGTACACAGCGAGCCCATAGCATCGCTTGCGTTGCCTCGAGTGAAAATGACAAATAGGGTGGAGCATTTTGGTTTTCCTTTTATTTCTTGGATTCACTTGAAATTAAACCCGCTGACCAGAGAGACATACGTATCTCGACCCCCAAAACCACGCCTTTTGACCCAAAACCGGAGGTGCCGTCGGTGCTTCTCTTTGCCAAGCATCGGCTTCATCGCTATGAAGGGCCTTGGGAGGCCAGCGAAATTCTGACAATCGGCGGTTTTCTTGTTGGTTAGGCAGGGAATGCGAAATGGAATAACCCCAAGAAAAAGTCTCCCTGGTTTGACTGGTTTGGTTTCCTTATTTCGGGAATTGGGATCGAACCGGAAGGTCATCCGCTTTTGAGCACCAGCAAGCTTTGGGTTTTCTTTGGCTGGTGGAAGCCAGCCGTTAGACAGCTGGGGAGGGGAGCTACCAGGAGTGCAAGGACATGGTAGATAACCACCCTTCATGCGGGCTTTGTTATGTTTGTTCTAGCTTCCCAGCACTCCGAGTGCGAGTGCGTTCAAGCGGTGCCGCTGTGTTTGTGCACTGCTTTCTTCATGCGGTTCTCCAACCCTCCTTCCTAGCAACAGCCCTCGGCAAGTCCCTAAGGGTCTTGTTTGGAAAGATGAGGGGTGAGGGGCAGGGAACGGGAGGGGGTTGGGGTGAGATAGTTGGAGCGCACGTTTTATGCCACACATAGGTTTATCACTTGTTTGCGACCCTGCATGTAGCTCCCACATGTTTGGTCAGCACATATCAAGTAGGCTCAAGTAGGCTGGTGGCCAAGGCTGTCGCGAAGTGCTGGCATCCTGTTGTTCACCCCTCCATGGCGTTGGTTTTTCACATGTTGTCACCAGTGGGGTGATCCCTTAGAACGCACGCATGCTTCATGTCAACGCATTGCCGATTCCATGCCTATGCAGCCACATGTGCAAGCGGGTTGCTGGTTTTCAGCAGGGATTGAGAGATGGAAGGACTTCAAGAAAAACCAAAAAAAAAAGTCCCATCCACCAGGTGGTTTTTCCTTTCGGGTATCCGACCACCGGTGCATTCCCAGACTAGTTCCCGGATCCGGGGCCATGGCCTCCGCGTTCCCAGGCGCAGAGTCTGGTGGCTTTCGCGCGGCTGGTGTTGGACGGGGAACGCATGGGGGAGCCCATCCCGGCAGAGCCCAGCCTCATCGACAGGCGCTGAGGGGTTCTGATCCAAGCCGTGGATCCATGGCTTTTCTTCGCGCCAGCTGCACATAAAACGAAGGGCGGGCTTGGTGTACCAATGTTTCGGGGACATGTCACAGATGGGACCGCTGGCGGGCTTGGTGTACCAATGTTTCGGGCACATATCACAGATGGGAGTGTACCAATGTTTCGGGGACATGTCACAGATGGGACCGCTGGCGGGCTTGGTGTACCAATGTTTCGGGCACATATCACAGATGGGAGTGTACCAATGTTTCGGGGACATGTCACAGATGGGACCGCTGGCGGGCTTGGTGTACCAATGTTTCGGGCACATATCACAGATGGGAGTGTACCAATGTTTCGGGGACATGTCACAGATGGGACCGCTGGCGGGCTTGGTGTACCAATGTTTCGGGGACATGTCACAGATGGGACCGCTGGCGGGCTTGGTGTACCAATGTTTCGGGCACATATCACAGATGGGAGTGTACCAATGGGGACATGTCACAGATGGGACCGCTGGCGTGTACCAATGTTTCGGGCACATATCACAGATGGGACCGCTGGCGGGCTTGGTGTACCAATGTTTCGGGCACATATCACAGATGGAGTGTACCAATGTTTCGGGACATATCACAGATGGGACCGCGCGGGCCTGGGTGTACCAATGTTTTTCTGGGCACATATCACAGATGGGAGTGTAACCAATGTTTCGGGGACATGTCACAGATGGACCAGGCGCGGCTTGGTGTACCAATGTTTCGGGCACATATCACAGATGGGAGTGTACCAATGTTTCGGGGACATGTCACAGATGGGACCGCTGGCGGGCTTGGTGTACCAATGTTTCGGGCACATATCACAGATGGGAGTGTACCAATGTTTCGGGGACATGTCACAGATGGGACAGATGGGACACGCAGATGGACCGGCAGGCGGCTTGGTGTACCAATGTTTCGGGCACATTAACACATTTATCACAGATGGACCATGGCGGGCTTGGTGTACCAATGTTTCGGGCACATATCACATTATCACAGATGGACCAATGGCGGGCTTGGTGTACCAATGTTTCGGGCACATATCACAGATAGACCAATGGCGGGCTTGGTGTACCAATGTTTCGGGCACATATCACAGATGGACCACTGGCGGGCTTGGTGTAGCAATGTTTCGGGCACATATCACATTATCACAGATGGACCAATGGGGGGCTTGGTGTACCAATGTTTCGGGCACATATCACATTATCACAGATGGACCAATGGCGGGCTTGGTGTACCAATGTTTCGCGCACATATCACAGATAGACCAATGGCGGGCTTGGTGTACCAATGTTTCGGGCACATATCACATTATCACAGATGGACCACTGGCGGGCTTGGTGTAGCAATGTTTCGGGCACATATCACATTATCACAGATGGACCAATGGGGGGCTTGGTGTACCAATGTTTCGGGCACATATCACATTATCACAGATGGACCAATGGCGGGCTTGGTGTACCAATGTTTCGCGCACATATCACAGATAGACCAATGGCGGGCTTGGTGTACCAATGTTTCGGGCACATATCACATTATCACAGATGGACCACTGGCGGGCTTGGTGTAGCAATGTTTCGGGCACATATCACATTATCACAGATGGACCAATGGCGGGCTTGGTGTACCAATGTTTCGGGCACATATCACAGATGGGACCAATGGTGGCTTGGTGTAGCAATGTTTCGGGCACATATCACAGATGGGACCACTGGTGGGCTTGGTGTACCAATGTTTCGGGCACATATCACAGATCGGGACCACAGATGGTGGCGGGCTTGGTGTACCAATGTTTCGGGCACATATCACAGATGGGACCAATGGTGGGCTTGGTGTACCGATGTTTCGGGCACATATCACAGATGGGACCACTGGTGTGCTTGGTGTACCAATGTTTCGGGCACATATCACAGATGGGACCACTGGTGGGCTTGGTGTACCAATGTTTCGGGCACATATCACAGATGAAAACCAACGGTGGGCTTGGTGTACCAATGTTTCGGGCACATATCACAGATGGGACCACTGGTGGGCTTGGTGTACCAATGTTTCGGGCACATATCACAGATGGACCACTGGTGGGCTTGGTGTACCAATGTTTCGGGCACATATCACAGATGGACCAATGGCGGGCTTGGTGTACCAATGTTTCGGGCACATATCACAGATGGGACCAATGGTGGGCTTGGTGTACCGATGTTTCGGGCACATATCACAGATGGGACCACTGGTGTGCTTGGTGTACCAATGTTTCGGGCACATATCACAGATGGGACCACTGGTGGGCTTGGTGTACCAATGTTTCGGGCACATATCACAGATGGGACCACTGGTGGGCTTGGTGTACCAATGTTTCGGGCACATATCACAGATGGGACCACTGGTGGGCTTGGTGTACCAATGTTTCGGGCACATATCACAGATGGGACCAATGGTGGGCTTGGTGTACCAATGTTTCGGGCACATATCACAGATGGACCAATGGTGGGCTTGGTGTACCAATGTTTCGGGCACATATCACAGATGGGACCACTGGTGGGCTTGGTGTACCAATGTTTCGGGCACATATCACAGATGGGACCACTTGGGTGGCTTGGTATACCAATGTTTCGGGCACATATTACAGATGGGACCACTGGTGGGCTTGGTGTACCAATGTTTCGGGCACATATCACAGATGGGACCACTGGTGGGCTTGGTGTACCAATGTTTCGGGCACATATCACAGATGGGACCAATGGTGGGCTTGGTGTACCAATGTTTCGGGCTTGATGTGACTTAGGGCGGGCGCCTAGTATCACAGATGGACCACTGGTGGGCTTGGTGTACCAATGTTTTGGGCACATATCACAAATGCAATGTTTCGGGCACATATCACAGATGGACCACTGGCGGGCTTGATGCACCAATGTTTTGGGCACATATCACAGATGGACCAATGGTAGGCGTGGTGTACCAATGTTTCGGGCACATATCACAGATGGACCAATGTTCTTGGTGTACCATTGTTTCGGGCACATATCACAGATGGACCAATGGTGGGCTTGGTGTACCAATGTTTCGGGCACATATCACAGATGGACCAATGACGGTGGGCTTGGTGTACCAATGTTTCGGGCACATATCACCAATGGTGGGCTTGGTGTACCAATGTTTCGGGCACATATCACAGATGGACCAATGGTGGGCTTGGTGTACCAATGTTTCGGGCACACCGGGCACATATTACAGATGGACCAATGACGGTGGGCTTGGTGTACCAATGTTTCTGCACATATCACAGAAGGACCATTGGTGGGCTTGGTGTACCAGTGTTTCGGGCACACATCACAGATGGACCAATGGTGGGCTTGGTGTACCAATGTTTCGGGCACATATCACAGATGGACCAATGGTGGGCTTGGTGTACTAATGTTTCGGGCACATATCACAGATGGACCAATGGTGGGCTTGGTGTACCAATGTTTCGGGCACATATCACAGATGGACCAATGGTGGGCTTGGTGTACCAATGTTTCGGGCACATATCACAGATGGACCAATGGCGGGCTTGGTGTACCAATGTGTCGGGCACATTTCACAGATGGACCAATGTTCTTGGTGTACCAATGTTTCGGGCACATATCACAGATTCACCAATGGTGGGCTTGGTGTACCAAAGTTTCCGGCACATATCACAGATGGGACCACTGGTGGGCTTGTTGTACCAATGTTTCGGGCACACATCACAGATGGACCAATGGTGGGCTTGGTGTACCAATGTTTCGGGCACATATCACAGATGGACCAATGGTGGGCTTGGTGTATCTTGGTGTACCAATGTTTCGGGCACATATCACAGATGGACCAATGGTGGGCTTGGTGTACCAATGTTTCGGGCACATATCACAGATGGACCAATGGTGAACTTGGTGTACCAATGTTTCGGGCACATATCACAGATGGACCAATCGTGGGCTTGGTGTACCGATGTTTCGGGCACATATCACAGATGGACCAATGGTGGGCTTGGTGTACTATATAATGTTTCGGGCACATATCAGAGATGGACCAATGGTGGGCTTGGTGTACCAATGTTTCGGGCACATATCACAGATGGACCAATGGTGGGCTTGGTGTACCAATGTTTCGGGCACATATCACAGATGGACCAATGGTGGGCTTATCCAATGTTTCGGGCAAATGGCGGGCTTGGTGTACCAATGTTTCGGGCACATATCACAGATGGGCCACTGGTGGGCTTGGTGTACCAATGTTTCGCGCACATATCGCAGATGGACCAATGGTGGGCCTGGTGTACCAATGTTTCGCGCACATATCACAGATGGACCAATGGTGGGCTTGGTGTATCTTGGTGTACCAATGTTTCGGGCACGTATCACAGATGGACCAATGGTGGGCTTGGTGTACCAATGTTTCGGGCACAAATCTCAGATGGACCAACGGTGGGCTTGGTGTACCAATGTTTCGGGCACATATCACAGATGGACCAATGGGGGGCTTGGTGTACCAATGTTTCGGGCACATATCACACATGGACCACTGGTGGGCTTGGTGTACCAATGTTTCGGGCACATATCACGGATGGACCAAAATTTCGGGCACATGTCACAGATGAACCAATGGTGGGCTTGGTGTACCAATGTTTCGGGCACATATCACAGATGGACCAATGGTGGGCTTGGTGTACCAATGTTTCGGGCACATATCACAGATGGACCAATGGTGAACTTGGTGTATGTTTCGGGCACATATGATGGACCAATGGTGGGCTTGGTGTACCGATGTTTTGGGCACATATCACAGATGGACCAATGGTGGGCTTGGTGTACCAATGTTTTGGGCACATATCACAGATGGACCAATGGTGGGCTTGGTGTACCAATGTTTCGGGCACATATCACAGATGGACCAATGGTGGGCTTGGTGTACCAATGTACCAATGTTTCGGGCACATATCACAGATGGACCAATGGTGGGCTTGGTGTACCAATGTTTCGGGCACATATCACAGATGGACCAATGGTGGGCTTGGTGTACCAATGTTTCGGGCACATATCACAGATGGACCAATGGTGGGCTTATCCAATGTTTCGGGCAAATGGTGGGCTTGGTGTACCAATGTTTCGCGCACATATCACAGATGGACCAATGGTGGGCTTGGTGTATTTTGGTGTACCAATGTTTCGGGCACATATCACAGATGGACCAATGGCGGGCTTGGTGTACCCATGTTTCGGGCACAAATCTCAGATGGACCAACGGTGGGCTTGGTGTACCAATGTTTCGGGCACATATCACAGATGGACCCATGGTGGGCTTGGTATACCAATGTTTCGGGCACATATCACAGATGGACCAATGGTGGGCTTGGTGTACCAATGTTTCGGGCACATATCACGGATGGACCAAAATTTCGGGCACATATCACAGATGGACCAATGGTGGGCTTGGTGTACCAATGTTTCGGGCACATATCACAGATGGACCAATGGTGGGCTTGGTGTGCCAATGTTTCGGGCACATATCACAGATGGGACCACTGGTGGGCTTGGTGTACCAATGTTTCGGGCACATATCACAGATGGACCAATGGTGGGCTTGGTGTACCAATGTTTCGGGCACATATCACAGATGGACCAATGGTGAGCTTGGTGTACCAATGTTTCGGGCACGTATCACAGATGGACCAATGGTGGGCTTGGTGTACCAATGTTTCGCGCACATATCGCAGTGGACCAATGGTGGGCTTGGTGTACCAATGTTTTGGGCACATATCACAGATGGACCAATGGTGGGCTTGGTGTACCAATGTTTCGGCCACGTATCACAGATGGACCAATGGTGGGCTTGGTGTACCAATGTTTCGGGCACATATCACAGATGGACCAATGGTGGGCTTGGTGTACCAATGTTTCGGGCACATATCACAGATGGACCAATGGTGGGCTTGGTGTACCAATGTTTCGGGCACATATCACAGATGGACCAATGGTGGGCTTGGTGTACTAATGTTTCGGGCACATCACAGATGGACCAATGGTGGGCCAATGTTTCGGGCACATATCACACCATGTTGTACCAATGTTTCGGGCACATATCACAGATGGACCAATGGTGGGCTTGGTGTACCAATGTTTCGGGCACATATCACAGATGGACCAATGGTGGGCTTGGTGTACCAATGTTTCGGGCACATATCACAGATGGACCAATGGTGGGCTTGGTGTACCAATGTTTCGGGCACATATCACAGATGGACCAATGGTGGGCTTGGTGTACCAATGTTTCGGGCACATATCACAGATGGACCAATGGTGAGCTTGGTGTACTAATGTTTCGGGCACATATCATAGATGGACCAATGGTGGGCTTGCTTGGTTTTTGCAGAAACCATCAGAACAAGTCACAGTCCTCATGCTGATTGTGGGAAACTCTAGCTATGTTCCACTCAAATGTTCGGTGTTGTGACAATTTTGCCCATACCTTTACAATGTATGTGCAAAGGCTTCTTGGCCACCAGCTTTAGGAAAACTTAGTGTAGCCGGATAAAACATCCGTACCCCGAGTTGTGTCAAGCAACTTTTAAACGTTGCCACACCCTTGTGGGCCAAAGGCATGGTGATAGCAGGCCCATCCATATGAAGTTGCCTGTTGGCAACTTGTTGGCGTGTTCTTTGCTTCAAATAGCCCTTTGTTCAAGGTTTAAGGCGGCAGCAAAACCGCCTTTGAGTGAGCCTTCAAGCGTCACCAGGAGCCCCATTGGCAAACAGGTAAAATTTGAGCCTCAGAAAGGAACAAGGGCGGACCCGGCAACCTCATTGCAAGCCTGGGAGCGGGGGTTGGGTCCTAGCACACCGCTTGTAGTCTAGGCTCGGATGCAGGGTTCCATTTTGCAGCCACTTTTGTCACGTGACACTTTTGCAACTTACGTGGGTTGTGGCTGCCTTTGCTCGCTCTTGTATTCAGGGAAGCCCCTGCAGCATGTTGGCAAAAGTCGGACTGGTGCAGATGAACAGTAATTTGCTAATTTTCAACGCCGGTGCAGCCCTATCGACGATGCGCAGGCTGTGGCAGCGCTTCATGGGAGGAGGTGAGCTTTAAATACACTGCTCTTAGGTGCTTGTTCCATTATCCGGCCATTCCCGAAACGCTCAATGGACAAATGCTGCACTTGTTCCGCCCAGTGTTGGCAGCAACCGACAGTTGCAAGACTTCCTTCCTTGATGGCATGTGGGCAAGAAGCCGCACCATTTGTCCCGAAGAGGCGCAATGCAGAGGTACGCTGATGTGCGTTTTTCTGGCCTGGAAAGAATGTGCTGTTTAAGTCTGCCGGGTTATGAGATGCGTACACTTTCACACAGTAAATCATGCACGCAAACAGCTGCTGTTGTCAAGTTTTTGGCTCAACCGCCTGCAGCTGCCTTCCGCCGCACACACACACACACCCACAAGGACAAGGATAGTTGGATCTCTGCTTTTTGACTTTTCTTGTGCATGAGGCTTGTTTAGCATCTCCCGTGGTTCACGCTTCATTTGGAAGGTTATTAGGGCCACTTGCGACGCTTGAGCATATTTCCCCGCGGCCTCCAAGCCAGCCGCCAACAAGCAAGGCGATGCTGAACCTGTGGGCCTGGAAGATGCGCGATTGCAGTCACCAGGTGAATGTTTGAACTTGTCGAGAGATACGACGTCTACCCCGTAAATTCTCCACCTATTCTCTAAACCGGAGGTTCGTGAGTTGCACTCAGCTACTGTGGCCATGACACGCTCGAAGCTTCAGTGCATCCGGCTGCATAGCTACGCAGTGAAGGGAAACGTCAATTGCGATGCATGCCCACATGTCTACAGGTGCTGGGAAGCCTGAGGGATGGCAACCTGGAAACAGAAGGAAGGCATGGAAGGCAAAGGTTTGCGATTTTGATGGGAGCTGCATGCCAATTGGGAGCCCCTGGCTCTCCAGCGGGCAGACGTTTTTATTTTTTATTTTTTATTATCCCGTGTGAGGCCCATCCGTCATCCGCCCCGCGGGGACCCGCAGCAGTTTTCTGGTTCCACGTTTACCCTTGATGTCAACCTTGCCCGTGATGGCAAGCCGCCAGAACCAAGCCGCTAGCTTGCACTCAGCTTGGCGGCTGGCACATCTTGGTTCGATTTGCTTGATGGGGTCACTTGATTGCTTCGATTTGCTTGGCAGATCTCTTAGAAGTCATGCCTTGATTTAGAACCCAATTGCTACTGTGTCATCGAGCTCAGGTCGGTCTCAGAATGGCGGCCTTTGGCGCAGCGGCCGTATTTGCGGCCTCCCTGTTGCCCCGTACAGGAGCTGCCTCCTCGCAAAAAGACAATTTTCTTCGAGCAAAGCAATTGGGATAACCCCGAGAATGTTTCCGGTTGCACCCCAAATGAGTTTGCCAACGTGAGATGTGAAAGCAATGATCAGCCACTGCATTTCACCAACTCTTCGCATCTGGATCCGGTGGCAACTGGGATGTCTACCACTGGGATGTTACTCAGGGGCAGCCCAAGAATGGAGAACACAAGGAGGGACATGTTTTAGCTGGAGGATCCATTCGCAGCCCGTCCCGGACTTTTGCTCTCCGATACATGGCTCCCACGTCCAGGAGCCTTTGTGACGTTGCCGCCGGTGTCTCGCTCAGGGCCGCGGCCGTCTCAGTGCCTCGGGCTTTTGGAAGGGCCGTATTTTGAGCAGCGGGTTGACCACTGGGTTTTATGGGCCCGGAGAAAAAACCAAGCCGGTGGACCACTGCACTGTTGGTGTTTGACCTGTCCGACTTGCCAGGAACGAGTTCCTTCTGGGAATGCTTGAATGCATTAGTTACCCTCCCATCGGTCAACATGGGCCACGTTTATTCGTGGGAAGGTACTATTAGTTGAATATGCCACAGATGAATCAGATGCTGTTTGCCTGAGTGGATGGTGATGGGTTGCAAACAGTGCGCTAATTCGAGAATCACAGAGCGCTTGACGCTTTGTACAACGCACTGCCGATGTTACGGGTGGAGCTGAGGAGTGCTCATACGTCCACATCATCTTCCGCTGATGGCCTGTTTTCAGCCACTGCTGCCACGGCCGCGCACCTTGGCACTGAGCATACCGTTGTGTACTGGATATATATAGACAAGACTCAGACTGTCACATGGCCGTGGGTCAACACCAATGGTACCATTTTGGGGTAGGTGAATTCAGCACCCATTTTAGATTGGGATGTTCACTGGGGGTACGGGGTTTTGACCCATAGCCACATTCAAGCATTATGCAGCATTAGGACTCACTCAGGAAGTGAGCCCACCGACCTTGCTCTGTAAAGCCTTTTGTTTCGCAACCTGTCCGGTCTAGCAACAACGGCTAAACGTTATCTTGGTTCCAACAGTTAGTCACTCCAATCCTGTCCACGCGTCAGATGCATGTATTTTTACATGCTTAGATATTGGCAGGTATCAGCTCCAGGCAATCCTGGTCTTTCTGAACTCGTCCTTTCCCCCTAAGAGGCCCACCCCCGATTAAACCTCCCCCTGGGAAACAGCTTTTTAGTGCTTGGGCTCCCCAGTTCCAGGTTTGGGGTGTTCCAGGTGAGGACGGAGTCAGACAGGCAAGAAAAGGGTCCACTAGGTACTGCACCCCTTTCCGGGCCCCAAAAGTTCACGCATGCTTTCATTCTGGATTCTAAGTACGGACGTTTAAGAAATCTACTCTTTGCCTTTGAAAGGGGTGCTTGGTGACTGATGGCAGGGGTCTCCCAATAAGACTGGAAGAGGGGTCGGTTTAAGATGTTTTTTGCATCCGAATTGTTTATTCCCCCCCAGGGACCTTTCTTCCACTTCCCCCCAATTGGCGGTTTGGATTGGTGAAGGGGAGGTTTCCCGTTTACCCTCTGGGGTTCAAATCCCCAAGTGAGAGTGGTGATTTATTGCTGGGGGGAACATATTTTCAAGCGGATGCCGGCCTGGAATCCCATGCATGTGATCCAGCCTGAGGTGTGCAGCCCTTGTTGCTGCCAGGGTGGGTTTCGCTGCAGCTGTGCCAGCTGCGCTCTCAGGGCCAGGCTGTTCATCGCATGTGCGTTCCGAGCTGTTTGGAATGCTATTGCCTTGGATGTGTACCTCAGTGACTTTTCGGGAGACTATGAGGGTTTTCGGCCAACCGGCCAAAGTTGAGCCTGTTGGGCATGCAATAGAAATGATGCTGTGACTGTCCCACAAGAGCAGCCAAAAGGAAAACACCGTTTGATTACCTCCCGAAACAATCTGAATATATCCTGGGATTTCAGCTTTGGCCTGCATTCTTCGTTAGTTGCTGAAATGTGGCCTGATCAGAATCAGAAAGGTTCGAACAGCAATCTGGCGGGCACATTCGCCGTGTTAACGCCTTGCACTACAGCAGTTCATTCTTTGGGTAGCCAGCGCACGGGCAAATAGGATTGAGACCGCACTAGGATGTCAGAGTCGTTCCACCCATTCGCGACATTTCACGGATATCTAGTCTGACACTCATATTTGGGAGAATCAAGTGCGAAGCCTTCAATTTGTGTCTCAAGCAATTGGATCCACGCGCTTCAGTCCCTTCCGGCGAAAGAAACGAGTGAGCTCCTGGGCTGGTCGTTAGTACCCCTTACACACAATACCCGTTGTTTTTTTTATATATATTTTTTTTTAAGGGTATCATGTCGACCCTCGACTAAGAAAGGAGGTATTTACCATACAAACCCAGGTTCTTCAAAAAAATACCCCAGAAAAAATGGGCATCTGGAGTAGGGGCATTTGGGATTGCTGAGGTTCGGGGCGCACGCCCCAGGGCACAGAAGGTTCAATGCGCCGCGGGCGCATGGAGCGTTGGCTCCGCGGGCGGCGGCCTGGCCTTTGGGCCTTTGGGTTGGTGGTGTGGTTGGTGCTGTGGGCCGCGTGCTTCTGGGGTTTTCTCAAAGAAATGTTGACCCAGGAGTCATAAACCCGTCCCATTATGAGGGGGGTGTTCCAATCCAAAAGTGATGAATTCCTACTAAAAGGGGACACCCCCCTATTAATAAACAGGGGTGTATTAATCCGGGGTTAACATTAGTGATGTCCTAAGATCCTAAGATGTATGGTTTCCTTCCAGTGTTCCCTTTTTCATCAACCAAAAGGGGCTTCATTCTGAGAAACACGGACATGCATGCACATGGAAAATAAGTAAGAGAGGCATGCCCACACATTCATTGCTCAAGATTGCACCTGTCGATGATTGGGTCTTGGGAACCGTGCGGCATCTTCAGTGCAGACAATGGTGCTTCTATGATGGGAGGGCTTATTCACATTGCTGTCCTGCTATGATTTACAACTATTTGTGTGGGTCATATCATGTAGCGGGTTTGTGTATGCTGTATGTTTGCAGGAGAAGGCCTTTTTGTCCAATCCTTGGACAGAGCATGCAGAGAGATATTGATACTCTTCACATCCAGTGATTTTCCTTTCCCGTCATTTTTCTCTGCATGAGCATTCTGCAACACTGACGGGGACCAATCCAGCTAGCAGCATCCGGCGTTCATCTCTTGGACCAGCTTTGTATGCAGCTTCCATGCCAATTCGTGACATGCAGCAACACTGAAGACAGACAGGTGTGATGGCATCCGATGCAAATGACAGTCACCCCTTCCATGTTAGCATCCTTGCCCGATTCCATAGTGTCCCATACTAGTACAACACAGCCTGAACAATGACAACTTGGAATGTAAACGGTACAAGGCGCTGACACAAATGTAGTCAGGATACTTGAGGCATGCTTCGTGTGGATTTCACTGCATTTACAACAAACAGACAGGTATCTTCCATTTTTAGCCAGGAATCCGCAAGCCCGCACTTTCCAAACGCCTTCCATACAGGCTTGCAATGCCACTGCTCCATCAGATTCTTCCAACTTTCCGTGTTTATCATACTCATGCGATCGAACGTCTTCCCATTGTACTGGACATATGCGCAGACATATCCAATTGTGTGGACTGTATTGGATGTACAGTTGAGTGAGAGTAGAATGCACAATTTCCCTATTTGCATTGAGTCAGTCCCTTGCCTTTAAAGAGAATCGTGCCATGAACCGTCGCCCTGGTGTCTCTTAAGAAAAACGGGACACCTTGCAAGCTGCCGCTGGGAACTTCACACCTCAGGTTTCCATTCGGGTTCGTGGGCTGCATCTTGTTTCTTTTGGTGCACCTTCTCCATGGCTTTGGATGGCTTTGGATGGCTTTGGGGTTTTGGGGTTTTCGGGCTTTGGTTGGCTTTGGTTCGAGGAATCACCTCCAGCAGCTCCTCTTTCCTGGGCTCCTCCATGGCCGGTGCAGTGACTGGGCGCGGCTCGAACCCGCTCGAGCGAGCCGAAGGAACTGGACCCCGTATGAACCAACCCCGGTTTAGTAGGGGATGGTGTCCCCTGGGCTTAGTGGGGAAGCATTACTTTTGGAGGGGAACACCCCCTATGAATAAACAGGGGTTTATGAATACGGGGTCAACGTTACACTGAAGTGTGTGTTTGTTTGGGACCCCCCTTTGGTGGTCTGAAAACGGAAGCCAGAGGAGAATAAAGCCTTTGGGAGGTTCCCCTGTGAGACAAACGCGGATGGCGCACTATTGATGCTGGTTCCCGGAATTCGACCGAGCTGTGGCTTAGCGTCAGCTTTGGACCCGGGACCTGAATGGAGCTGATTGTCCATTGCAGCTTAGCTACTGGGAGGAGGTGGAATGCTCGGGAGCTGAGTGCGTGAAGGATGGCAGGCATTCTCATTCAAAGGGCAGAAGGACAACGGCGTGAGTAACATTGCTGTTAGGCTTGCGCCGTATCAGAGCGATGCAAAATTTATTGGAAGGTGTTTGCATTTTCTCTCCACGTGACGGCAGCTGGGCACTGTGTTTGACCAGCACCAGCTGCCAGATGCCATTCGCGACATTCAAAGCGGAATACACCGTACTTTCTGCTGCTGCAAGTCAGCTGGACCTTGACTCTGGGCAAATCAGGTGGAATACAAGGTATGTCGAGCAACCTCTTGTTGACTTGCTGCAAGTGTTCTCGGTGCATTTGTTTGTGTTTTGCCCGATGGCGGGCTCGATTGCATTCGATGGAGATGTAGTAAACTCTTGGTATACCCCTTTTGTTTGCCGCATGTGAGCTGAGTGACGGAGCCTTGGCAGGCCTGTGGCCTCCCCGAACAGATCAGGCTCAGCGCTCTCGTCTATGTCAATGATGCTTGGCTTTTGCTGGTTGCAATGGCGCTGGCTTATGCCTGTAGCATGCCTGTAGGCCCCCGTGTGAGATTGCATGTTCTCCATACTGACCAGAAAGCAGGGCGTTTGGCAAATTTGGCGGTTGATTGGACGCTCTTTTCATTTCGTGTGTCTTGGGCTGCATTTTGTCGGAGAGTAATTCGCTTGTTCCATGCACACGGCCTGTGGGCAGAGCGGGCCGTGTTTGTGAGCATAAGCTGGCAGGATGCCACGGGGGTTCTGAGTCGCCCGAGGATGTTTGAGCGCTTCAACGAGAAAGCAATCAAAGCAGTGATGATGGCACAGGAGGAGCATTGATAGTCCAGACAGCAGACTTAGCCTTGGTACCCTCCCTCCAATTAACATGGAACCTGACAGGGGTCCCGGAAGACCATTTAGCTTTTTTAAGGCGACTCTGTCAGGTTCCACGTTAATTGATGGGAATTTATTTTACCATGCTTTAGGCATGTGTTTTGAATCTTGACCATGTGCCGGCAATTCAAGATGCGGTGCGGCTGCATGGAATTGCGAGTTGTTCTTGGCTGGAATGGCGTGCCAAGAGTTGACCAATCCAACCACCAATTGTGCGAAAGCTGAATGTGAGCATGTGCAGTGTCCAGAAATTGTTTTGTTGTGTCTGGCTTGTGTTGCTGAATGGCTGCTGCTTGCGGTTGCAAGAGAAGCAAAGGCTCTGCACAGGCCAGTAGGCAGACCATCGCACATCACGCGCAAGGAGTCGAGGCGGCTGGGGCACAACTATGTAGGAACCGAGATGCTTTTGGCGCCTTGGCTGCAGATTTGCCCAAGGCTACTTTGCAAACGTGCGCAAGCCACGCAATCTCTTTGCCACATGACATCGAACATCTGTGCTTCTTAGCACTTTGACATTGTCATAACATACGTGCATGTATGTTTTTCCGGCATGATGTTGATATTTGTCATGTCGGGAGCTTTCCGACAAAGGTGGGAGTGGTGGCAGACACCTCCGGGCCATCTGGAAAGGTGCTGAAGAAGTACAATGTCACCTTGGCGGACTGGAACTTCTGACTGAAACTTCTGACGGGTCAGGTCTCTAACGAACATGAGAACTTGGCAGCTGAGAGGCATTGAACTTGGCAGCTGACAGGCATGCCTTGGTTGTTTGTGGGCATGCGGCATGGTGATCGCCCTTTTGGGGACAGATCGCAGGAATCGCATGTCCTTGCCTGCAAATGGGTGTGGCTCAAAATTTAACAGATGGGGTTACGCAGGTTTTGGTCTTGCCTCCATATACCAAGGCGCCATTTCGGGTACCTTTTTTTGAGCCACCGCCAAATTTAAATGGGGTGCAAAGAAATCGACTCACATCCGTGGCAGGAGACTCGCAAGACCATGGAAAACATGGTGGGCCACGGCTCTGGCATGGTCTCGGTGGAAATCCCCTTCACACCGGCCGCCAAGCGTGTCCTCAGCGATGGAGTGACTGGGCGTTTGTCCACACCTTTGAAGAAGCACGGCGCAGGCCATGAATGAAACCTTGCAGAAAAGGAGTTCGTCTTGATTCGCAAACCGGCAATGCAATGTGTCTAAAGCGTTAGACACGGAAATATTGCACAAGGATGTTTGCCAGCAGAGGCCGCAGAACTTCTTGAGACTGCATGTCTTTGCGGAGGGAGCGCTGCGCAGCACGGAAACCAAAACCTTTTCAAAGAGCTGCTGTATATGAACCATATTCATTGGCATTCATGATTATGCAGGGGAAATCAGCACACCACACTCATGCGTGATGTTGGGCTCATGGCTTATTGAAAGTTCATGTTTCATCTCGTGTGACCTTCCACTTTGTGCACAGATGTGGCTGGCATCATGTAGGCATCATCGGGCCAAGCAATGTGCACAGATGTGGCTGGCATCATTGTAGGCCTCATCGGGCCAAAAACAAAAAAGTGTTGCCAAGAGGGACCCCCAAAGCTGAGATTCTGATCATCAGGGTGCCGAGGTTTCGGTCACCTGGTTCGCCCCAAACAGGCGTGCCTATATGCCTGGCTGAGGTGGAAGAAGCCAAACGGCTGAATGCCAACACCATCGACACGGCTCACATTTTGCTGGCCCTCCTCAAGGAGGACGCTTCGATTCGTTACCCCTTGAAGCCTCACACGAGGAGTATCGACCTGGGTGAGGGACAAAAGCAACGACCTCGCACGACCGGATTTACCCTAAATGGTGGTTTATGTGTGGAATATCCCCCCAACCACCTTATTTTAGGTTGGTGAATTGTTATATGATATTATAATTCACCCAGATCAACCAAAGGCACCGCTGCCAGAATGTCCTTTGTCAGCGACGCACGGCCAGGGCGCAATGGTAATACAAGCCCGCCGGCAGGATAACGGCAATGCGGTCAAGATCATGGAGAAGTTGGGCGTCGACCCCTCAAAGATGCCCGATGAAATCATGAAGGCGACGGGGCGTGGAGTTTGAGTGACATGGTGTTTTGCAGCTCATTTGGGTACTGAATAGCCAATATAGTTGCATTTTCCCAAAGGGGAACATCAACCCCAATATTATAGCTCTCAGTTATTGTGAGGTTCGTTGAGTGCATGTGCGGCATTTTGTTCCAGCGTTTTGCTCGCTTGGATTTCTCTAGCCAAATTTGTTTACGACAGGGGATTTGGGTGCAGGCGTCCACAGCATTCCCTAAAATTCAACAGAATTTGGCTTGTTGAAACCAACAAAATCAAGATATTGCGGGCATTGTCAGCACATGGCCATGGTTCAAAACCAATGGCACCATTTTGGGCTAGGTGATTTCACCACCCATTTTAGAACTATTTTAGTGGTTGGCTTGGGTCCCGTTCGCTGGGGGCTAACCGATTCGGGTTTTGACCCATGGCCACATCACATGCGCCCAAGAACCTGAGCCGGCGCCAGGAGCTTCAGGAGAAAGACGAGCGAAGCCTCGTGGGTGTGGCCGCCCGGGGCGGCGGCGTGGGGAAGACAGCGACCCTGGAGGAGTTCCTTAGTTGCATTTAGTTGCCCAAAGCCGGCCTTTTGACCTTTTGGTTTTTCCGTTTTGGTCCATTCTTAGTCATGGCCCCAAAAGGTTAACTTTTTTTTGGTTTCCAGGGCCTTTGGGCAACTGAGGTTCGGAAACGACCTCACCAAGGCTGGGCGACGTTTTGATATGCCAGCTGCAAGCGCTGCAAGCGCTGCAAGGAAGGGAAGCTGGTTGCAAAGTGCTTTGACCTGTCAAACCCCGGAATAGTTTGTTTTTTTTCCTGCTGCGATTGTCATTACTTCCCTCTACCTGCAAGAAGAAGCTGGCCACAGTGCGGAAGACTGGCACGCAAGTGTGTGGGTTCAAAGGGAAGCCAACGGGAAGCTAAGCATGTCGGGATTCCAGGGGCCCAGTTTGGATATGGGTCAAAATTCAACCACCAAGAAACCGGGGGTTTCAATCCTTTCCATGTACCAGGGGTCCATGAAGGGGTTACCCTATTTGGCCATGGGTCAAAATCCCGTACCCCCCGTGAACATCCCAATCCCCACTAAAATAGGTTCTTAAATGGGTGGTGCACCTACCCCTAGAATGGGATCCCATTGGTTCTGACAACCACGGCCATTTGTGCCCCACACGAATCCATGCGGGGAGCAAAATCAAATGACGCCGGCCGCATTTTTTTTCGCCGCGCAGGCCGCGGAGGAGGGCAAGATGGACCCCTTGGTGGGCCGCGCGGCCGAGCTGGAACGCACCATCCAGATCCTGGCGCGGCGGCAGAAGAACAACCCGGCGCCTCGGGTTTGCAGAAAAACAAACACGCGCTGCTTGGGGCTGGCCAAGGTCTGACTCGCTGAGTCCATGGACTTTAAAGACACTTAGTTGGAAAAAGCAATTTAGTGGTAAATGAAAGCTCGGACTGAGACTGACACTAGCATAACATGTGGCTATCAGATAAAGTTTTAACCTGGCTGCCTTGAAACACCAAATGTTCCAAGAATGCTTTTGGACTCGCCCTTCGCTTGTTAGCTAAAAACACTCCGAGTTCTTCGAGCACATCTGTCAACGACGTGTCAGCGCTCGTTGTGGTCTTAGCATGGTGCCTTTTTTTTGTTTTGGCAGGGAGGGGGCAGTGGACTTTCGCCAGGTGCTCATCGGAGAGCCGGGCGTGGGGAAGACCGCCATTGCTGAGGGCCTTGCCCAGAAGATCGTGGCGGGAGACGTGCCAGAGCTTCTGCAAGGCTGGGGTCGCGGTAGTGATAGGACAGGGAGGCGTTGGGTGGCAAAAGCTCAGAAGTTCGTGTGGCACGGATTGTTTTTGCTATCAGGTTCGGAGCACAAGGTCTAGCCTTTGCTGGGTTTCACGAAAAAGTCGCTTTGTTTCCAGGATGTCCTTTCGTGGATTCAAGGCCATCCGGTACCGAAGACCAGCCAGGCAAGCGCATCGTGCAGCTGGACTTGGCCATGCTGCTGGCGGGCACCCGTTACCGAGGCGAGTTCGAGGAGCGCCTGAAGAACGCCCGGCGGCCCAATGAGTCACTGCGTCGAAGCGTCGCTGCCCGGTGCCGGGCTATCGAGATGGCCATGACAATACACTTGTGCACGTGATTCAGTCAACACAGCGCACCATGTGGTCGCATTTAGTTCCGAACAAGATTCATCGATTCTACTGGACACTATCTCGGCAGAGGCTGACAGTTCAATGAGCAACAGCTTTCCTATCATGAGACTAACTCAGCGGGGAACATTGACGATAGGTAGTAGCACGGTGCTCAGTTGTTTGCACTTACGGATTGGTCGAAGCAGCAAATCCCCACTTCTACCATACAAGTGTACCCCATCCTTCAGCATGTCCTTCGGTGCCAATGTCGCCAGCGACCGCCTGGGCCGATGGCAACTTGAGGTGATCAAAGAAGTGCTGGACTCTAAGAAGGAGATCATTCTCATGATCGCAGCTTGGTTCTGAATCTTAACCTTTGGATTGATAGATACCACCGACTGAGGCGCGGGTTTCAGGATCCAATGCTAAGCAATTCTAAACTCTGATGCGGTCCTCCAGGGCCACCCCTAACTTGTACGGTGCATTCTGCAGAAGCTTGTCCCGCACCACGGATCAATTGCTTTCACATCCAGTCCAACTAAGAAGTTTAGTCAATTTCCGGATGCGCCCTCATTCCCGCAGAGCGGCCGGCTACAATTACCTTCTCCCGTAGACCACCTCCTCCCCCGCAATCCGTTTGCTCTCAGGTTTGCCCTTCAGGGGGGATGGATGTTTGTGTACTTGTGCTCGTGCTTCTCCTCGTTCTTGTGCATGCCTCATTGTGACCCTTCTTCACAGCAATGCCATTGTCTTTGCTGCTTTGGCCCGTTCGAGTCAACGCTCGTATTTCTGAAGGTCACAAATTTGTGTGGCCAGGGCAAGATGGGACAGGGGCAATATCTTGCTTGCAACTGTTTGCTTCTTCGGTGACTCCGCAAAGAATGGCGCTGTGGCTCTGAATGGCCATGGGCCAAAAGCCCGGGCCCCCAGTGAACATCCGATTCAATCCAACCACTGAAATAGGAAGCCTAAAATGGGTGGTGAATTCACCTACCCCAAAATGGGATCCCAGAACGGTTTTGACAACCACAGCCAAATGGCCCGTATAAGCCTGAATATCCCCAGGAAGTTGTTGTTTTTTCCTAGACCCTCTTTCTTTTTCCAGACCCAGATTTGGTCAAAGGACGAGATCCACACCATCGTGGGCGCGGGCGGCACCGGAGATGGGGGCGGCGCCATCGATGCAGGCAACATCATGAAGCCGGCGCTGTCCCGCGGCGAGCTGCAGGTTGGCGCCGCGAAGCGGCGGGAAAAGGTTTCTCAAGGGGTGTTTGTGTTGGTTGGATTCATGCACCGACCAGCCATTTGGAGCAAAAGGTATAGCGGCCTCGTATAGTCCCGAAAAATCGGGGTCTTTTTGAGTTCCCAATCCCCGATGTTGAGAAACTCGTTGCAACGTCAAAAAGGATGGTAGCTTACAAGTTTGCTTCAGGTCGCCTTAGTGCCTTGTGATTTCCCAGTCAGCTTGAGAATCTCGGCAGTGTCGGAAAGATGGTAGCTTGCCTTCGGTTGCCTTAGGCCGCCTTTGTGTGTGAATGTGCGGGTGGTAATTAATTGGTTTGTAGAGAGGCGACCTTGCAGATTATATTGAAGTTGTGTGGCTTCTTTGTACGGCGGGGCAGTCTTGCATTGCAGCTTGACGCTGCTGCGATGTTGGACTGGAAGATTTGCGTAATATTGGACGGAAAGTTGGTCAGACGGCATCATCTAGATCATCACATGACTGTGCTTTTGCCAGGCGCCTCGATTCATGACATGCCAGGCAGGCTTTTGGCCAGTAATCACTCTATCCATTGTGGCCATTGCTACTAGGTAACAATTTGATAAACCCGCCCACGTGTCAAGTAAGTTTGAGAATACAGCATGGCAGACACGCGCGTCATATTTCACCATGACGCTCCAAGGAATGCCGGTTGCAAACGTGAACAAGTACATGGTCGAACATGTTTATGTGCACGCTCCAGGGAAGACCCGGGCTGCTGCTGCCTCAAGTGTAAGGGAAGCAACCTCAAGCATTACGGGGTACATGTGCCACCGGTACTCACAAGAGAGATTTCACGCACCTGTAGGTCGAATCGTTAATTGAGAAAAAACCTCTTCAAGAGCTACGTACTTGGTGCGTTGCTCCCAGACTGGAATCTTCAGCGGCGCAGACAGCCAGATTGCACTGCGGGCGGGTAGCCGCCTGATGCGTACTAAACCGGCATGCCATGCAATTACAGCCACAAAGCAGAAGTTGGTCGTCTCAGCGAGAAACATGAATCAAGTCTTAAAATGGTTTTCAAGCAGGTGTGAGTTGCTTGGTCTGAAAGTTGCATGTTAATGGTCAGAGCCCCAGCTCTCTACGAGCCCGGATGAAGAACGCAAGCTGGTAAAGCAGCTTGAAAGATATAAACTGCAGCTTTGCAGGTGATTGGCGCTACCACCATCGAGGAGTACCGCAAATACATTGAAAAGGACAAGGCTCGGTCCACGGAATGATGATCCTGGCGGACTGGTACCCTCCTAACTTCTAACCGCATCACTGCAATCTGTCCTCGCAAGATATTTCAACCAGCGAAGCAGTTGGTTAAAATCCTCAAGTCACCGCATGACAGTTGATATCCTGCCCTTTTTGCTGTTCAACTCCATGGTTCAAGCAAGGGTGACAAATAATCATGTGCCTCCGGAGCAAACCCTAGTGGCTCAGCCACCAGCTGCCACAGGCTCTCGAGCGGCGGTTCCAGCCGGTGACAGTGCCAGAGCCCACCAATGAGGCTCGTGGCCAGTGTGCTTGACGTCTGGTTGTGAGTTCAGGCCAAACAGCAAGTGAGTCCTTTTGATGATAAGCTGATAAGCTTTGATAACTCACGATCGATGGTTTGCACTATGTACAGTGCTGCAAACCAAGAGCGCCGACCCTGCATGGTGAGATGTCATAGATTCGTCTGAGGAGACTCTGACCATCCTGCATGGCCTTGCCAAGAAGTACGAGGACTTGGTGCAAAGCGGTCGGTCATGTAATCTTGGTGGCTCCCAGCCATCCGGTTCCTTAGCCTTTTAGTGTTTAGTGGTAGTTTCCATTTAACCCACTAAAAGTGAAACTTTGAGTGGGGGATTTGAGGGCAGCCCAGCAATGCCTCTTCTTGGACTCAGGGCCGGGCATAGGGTGCCGGGCTCGGCGGCATGACGAGGAGCACCACAAGCTGAAGTACACGGACGAGGCATTGGCCGCCTGCGTCAAGTTCGCCTCGCAGTACATCCAGGACCGCTTCTTGCCCGACAAGGCTGGGCGAGCGGATTGATTTGTCAGGTGCGGTCCGGCCGCAAAAAACAAGAACCTACATGAACCTACATGTGCAAGGATGTGCATGTGGCTTGTGATCGATTTGCAAGTTGGAGCACGTGCCAGGAAGTTTGGTAGCCTGGATTGACGGCTTGTGAGGCGGTACCTCTTTGCTTTGCTCTTCGCTTCAGATGCCACAATTGGAGACAAACTAAGACAGATGGGCTTCCCTTTGTTCAATCCAAGCTTCGGTGATGTTCGGCAGCTCTGCGCTCTTTTAGCTGCGAGGCCTAATAAGAGAGTGGCTCACTGGTTTTGATGGACAGGGTTGGGGTTAAGTATGTTTTCAGTAGCCTGGCACTGCCTATTGGCAACTATTGGACGCTAACATTTGTTTGTACTTGCAAGTTGCTGCCTTATTTGCGGCGTATGTCTATTCCTTGCTCGCTTGGAGGGAGGCTTTCAACTGCTGACCAGCACACAGCAATGCCAGAAGTTCCAAATTAGAAGCCGACAGGCAGAGAGAACGCAGGAAGCGTTGCTGTGAGCATACAATTGCACAACGGCAGCTTGCGATGAGCGGAGACATTTGCTAGAATAGAATTGAGTGTTTGCCGACTCTCATCCCAAGCGCCAAGCATCTCCTGTTGCACTCTCATGGGACACGTGGCAGTACGGGCAAGACTCTGCAATTAATTCTGAAATATCTCCTGAGCTGACCTCATGTTTGTTTTGATCTTGTTTGTTGCATTGCTTTTGCCAACTGCTGGCCACATACATGCATGCGTTCGCATGCAAAGTCTCAAGCGCCTGCCTTATCTTCCATGTCATGAGGCAAGCCATGCCATGCGCTTCTCCCCATTCTCGGCTTATCTCTTCAGTCCTCGTGTTACATCACTTCAAGACGCGTGCGCCTTGGGAGCGGCGGGGCTTTCGGCCGCGTGAAGGCCATCGATGTCCTGGACGAGACCGGGGCCCGGGTTCGGCTGCGCGAGAGCTCCATCCTGCCAGAGGAGGCGAAGGAGGCGCAGCAGCACCTCGGATTTCTCGGCGGCTTTGACGCTTTTGGTCCACAGGCGCCGCGTTTGGCGGGTGAGGTTGCGTGGGTTGCTCAAAATTGTGGAGCCCCATTTTGGCATAGGGAGGCCAAAAGGACCAGTTTAGGGGACACCCTATGTTTATTGTTTCTCCGTTTCATTGAGTCGGCGGATGGGTGTCATCGATCCTCCGCAATATGGCAGATGACAGGGATGGTTGCCTTTTATGCGTGAAATGAAAAGTGTGTTGGCTCAGGCACCTAGTGCTTGCCATCGTGCGACCGGCCGTGCCAGTTCGACCAACTCAGGAAACTTAAGGAGGCCATGTCCCAGAAGGACCAGGGTTACTGGTAATGCTCTCCAGTCTTTGGCGCACCAAGTGGACCACCCTAGCGGTGCTGAAGGTGTTCTTGGCTCGAGATACAGCAACTTTCCGACCAATACTGTTTACAGTTACTGGCTGACCAACGAGCCAGTTTTACTTTGCATTGCTCCTGATTTCTGGCGACGTTGACACCCCTTGCACGCCCCGCATCGCCCACAACACTTTTTCGCCATGAAGCCTGGAACCAGCTATATTTGCAGTCTTGGCGGAAAGGGAGCCCAGGCTACACTGGAACCTAAGGTTTCGGCACTTCTAATTCTGCCCAGAGGGTTTTGCCACTAGTTGTCGATGCATGGTTCAACAGGCGCTTGCTGAGATTTGCGCTAGGCCTTTGGGTAGGTTTCGTGGGGGGCCGAGGCCAGACTATTGAGTAGGTGTCAAACCAGACCCAGAAAATGGTGGCTGGTCTGTTGGTGCCTTTCGGCCAACCTGAAAAAGCTATGTTCAAACAACAGACCTGTTTGTTCGCTGCAGGAAGAGGCAGTCCGAAATCAGAACTACGAGCTGGCGGGCGAGCTGAAGATGGAGGACTTGGTTGGGGGGGGCTGGGGCGAAGTGCCTGGCCCAAAGTGGGCTTTGTTTTGGTAAGGCTGAACACGTCCATCAGCACTGTGATGGCCTTTTCCTTTGATCGCAATGCCACGTACTGCTAAGAATCCAAGTTCTTTGATCCAAGAAGGATGTCTGCGCCTCGGCGGTCGGTCTTTGTTTGTGGTCTCCGTTTGTCGTGCTCACTCCCAGTTTTCTGACCTCAAGCTTCAGGCTGTTTGTACATTTTTGGGACCAGCGGGACGCATGATCTGCTGGTTCTCAGCAACGAATCAACAAGGGGTAAACCTAGGGATCCCCGAAAGAAAGCCCCAAGGGATAGTTTATAGAGGTTGTTTCCCTTTTTCTGTTGTGAGAACCAGCAAGATGAACAGGAGGGCAACCTGCGCAACAAGATCAAGACCATCATCAACGAGTCCAAGGCCAGCTTAGCTGACGATGATGATGACAACGAGGTGCGAAAAGCATGTTGTTGTTTTTTTGTGTGTTTTGCTGACCCTTCGACCGAGCTTACCTATTGAGGGCCAACACTGCTCAAACGCATCCTTGCGTCCAGTCTTAGATCCAGGGGGGTTGTCCAGTCTTACACCCAGGAGGGGTGTACGGGATGCAATCTGGGAATTTCCAGATTCAAGCCTTCTTCCCTGCAGAAAAGTGTTTGGCAGGTGAAACATGCACGAATTGGTTCTTGTAAGGCAATATCACCGCGCTCTGCAAGCCATATTGTCTTGGAGTTCTTCTAATTGTGTTTTTTGGTTCGGCTGCTTTGGCCCCAAACCTCAAGCAGAAGCTGAATTCCAGCAGAGTAGCAGTGTGAACGCCCGCTCAAGGTTGATGCCCTGCGCCTATGTGCCGCATGTGCTCCTGTGCTCCTGTGGCCCCTGCACTGCATGCCAGGAAGAGAGCGATGACAAGCCCAAGAAGAAAATCATGGTGACGGAGGCTGGAGAACAGCTTGTTGGGTCAGCAAAGCACACCATTTCCCAAAGCAACTGCATTGAAGGCAGATGTGGCGGCAGTGGTGTCCAAGTGGACCGGCGTGCCAGTGGAGAAGGCGGGCACATCATCCCCACTAAAATAGACTAGAATGGGTGGTGCACCTACCCCAAAATGGGGTCCAATTGGTTTTGACGACCACGGCCATCTGCGAACCAGGCTGACTGATTTGAGCGCTGCCCTCAGGTCTCCTCAGACGAGGGTGCCCGACTCGTGAAGCTGGAAGAGGCACTCCTGGGGTTGCTCAGGAGTTGCAAGTCTGAGAAGCGTGCCGGTGAAAAGCCGCAGGCTTGCAGTCATTCCTCTTCGTGGCGCCTGCGTTTGTTGAACATTGAAATGATATCTTTGCAACAAGGCCAAAAGGAGAAGCCACATACAAGCACGGACAGCACTCTACTAATCAAGTGTTGCGGGCCAGCCCAAGGAATAACACAGGAATGGGGATTGTAAGCTTCACAACTTTGGCATCTCGCTGACGGCTTTAGGCCCTCCCTGCCTCGAGGATATCAAACTGTCGGCTCATCATGGGGGCTGGGGGGAGGGAGGTGGGGCCCCTGGGGGGGAGGGAGCCCAAATAAGCCCCTACCAAGCTCCCTCCCCCTCCCCTCTTTCCCTCCCAGCCCCCGGGAGCTCAGCAAGCCCACGCTATTTGCAGAGTTTTGGCTCTGGCTGTAACCTGAAGACATGGGCGGGCTTTGTGATGGAGGCGTGAAACCTGGATCAGCCAAGGTCGGCGTTTTCGGTTGCCCGGGCCTGATGGTCAGATTTGTTTTATTTTATTTTTATTTTGACCGCCGGTGAGTGTGGCATTTTGTGCTAAGTTGATTGAAAGTGTGGATCCCTCAAATTTTCCCCTGTTGGTTTCAAAGGGAATCTACAACTCTTGTTTTCCATTATGTACATTTTTTCCGGGAGGGCGAAAAAGCAAAGGGATGGGGGAATAGACTGAGGAGCAGGGGGGGACCTTCCTTCAATAGCAGAAAACAAATAAGCTGTTGTGAAGCGTGGTTGGTGCCCCCCTCGACTGAGGAGACGAGGTCGAGATCTCGAGTTACACGGATGATCCCAGCGACCTCACCTCCCTGCACAGCTGCAGCTCGCCGGGCGGAGATGACTTCAGCCGGCAGGCAGGCGCTCGAAAGTTCAAGTGACCCTTCATCAGACATTCTCTGAGCAGCACGTTGGTGCATTTTGCTTGGATGTTAGGACTTAAACTTTTAGCAGGGGAGCAGAAAGCCACCGTAGGAACATTTCTGTTTGCTTTTGGTATGAGCGCTTGCGTTTGCTTTTTGAGGGTATATGTTAAAGGTTCGTTGAAAGGGAAACCAAGTACAACGTCAGTTATGCGTCCCACTATGTTGACACTAATTTCAAGTTTGAGTAGTTTCACAGCTCGTCTCCAGGAGGCCCTTGCTGCCAGTTTTGATAAAGGCCAACGACCATCTCATTGGATTGCACAGTCGGCAGTGGTTGACTTTGAGAAGATGTTGGACAAGGCCTGCTGATACCAAGCCCCACCCAAAAACAGGAAACTTATTGGGCTTGTTCAAAACTTAATGAGATTGAACAGATGCCCAGGTGACGGCTGAATCAGTGTCCAGCCGGTTGGCAGAGCAATCGCTGCTCATTGATGCCAGCGAGGTGGTGGTTAGCAAGCAGCTGCCTCACTGAAATGTACAACCGGCAAGTGGGTGTTTTTGTTCGGCATTCAACACTTAGTTGCCCAAAGCCGACCTTTTGACCTTTTGGCTGTTTCGTTTTGCTCCATTTTTAGTCATGGCCCCAAAAGGTCAAGCTTCTGTTTCCAGGGCCTTTGGGCAACTGAGCACATGTGATGAACGCAGCTTGGTTCCAGCAGTCCCGCGTGAGGCTGTGCAGCACGCTGACCAGCAGCATATCCATCGGCGTTTGGAGAGGTCGCAAAGTGGCAGCCAAGAGGATCAAGCATGCAGACGAACAAGATCCGGTGGTGGCAGAGAACGTGATGAAGGAAACATTGCAACATCGTTGCATAGATTCCTTCTGTTGCAGATTGGGAAAAAAGGCATGCCGGAGAGTCGAACAGAGTGTTCTGGAAAAAAGGCACTGCGACCTTGACACCGTGAAGTCAGCACCTAGCACATGGCTGTGGTAGGTCGGAAGCATTTGCACGGTGCTGCCTGTTGCTGGTTTAACTTGGTGTTTCAAGCCGTGGTTGATATTGGTTTTGCATTGGTTAAGACAACAATACCGTTTAAGCGCTACGTAACCATGGATTTGCTTGGTCTCGATTCTCATTGGTATTGGTCTACAACTTGCAGGAGAGCGTATGTGGCTGGGTTGGGCCTTTTGTTTCTTGATTCTCTAGTGTTTGGAAAGTGCCACCATGGTTGAATGTCATTTGCCACTGGAAAAGAAACACTGTTCTGTATTCCCTACCCATTTTCTTAGTCGGGGAAGTCAACTCGAAAGGCCAGAACGCATGCGGGGTCGCCTTGGCAGGAGATGTTGCAGGAGATGCACATTTTGAGCAACATCAGCCATCCCCGCTTGGTTACGTTTCTGGGAGCTAGCCTGCACGAGGCTTCGCCTATGATTCTCATGGAATTTTTAGAGCACCGGGATGTGGAGAATTACATGCATCTTGGCAAGTGAAGCCTGAAGACTGTCCATCAGAGTTTCTTGGTCAATTTGGTCCGGTGCAACCGAAGACACACACACACACACGAGACGTGTTGTTCCACCAAAACGTCAGCCGTCGATCCAAACGATCCAACATCAGTTGCCTGAGGCACCGTCAGCGCGAGAACTCCGTTGACAATCAGTACCGACCGCGATGGGAGTTGGCGCACCGCTGGGCGCTGCAAAGCTGCGAGGCCTTGGCCTACCTTCATGGCCTGCCTTTCCCAGTGCTCCATCGCCACTCGGGCAGCCAAGCGGCTTCGGGCTTCGGGAGTCGGGAGGGAATCTATGGGTATGCTTGGAACGGACGAGTTATGGCGAGCCCAGTTTATATAAGAAACAAATACAAAATAACAAAAAGCAAGCCTTGCGGCACGCCCTGAAATTCTCTACGAACACTCGTTTGTTTTGCAGAGCTCAGAGGGTAAAGTGCCTCCAGTCGGCACACAGAGAATGCTTAGGTGACACTGCCAGAAAATAAATGGCCTTGCATCCGGATGCTCCAAAGATGTTGGCTTGTGGCCTGATGCTTGTATTTCGAATTTCGGGTTCTTAGGTGGAACTAGTATTCTGTGGGTCTTGCAGGTGAAGCAGAAACGCGCAAATCATCTATCAGCTACAAGGGGCCGCATGCAAGTGCTCAGCACTAGCCGCAAATAGCGTTGAACATGTCCTGAGCGGAGTTTGCTCATCGGATTCAGGTGTGGTTTCCATTTCAACTGGAGGAGCCGACGATAACAAGCTGCCTGCCGAGGCGACCTGAAGCCGATGAACCTTTTCCTCACCAAGGACGTGGGGAATGCAGGGGCAGGTATGGTAGGCCAAATGGAGCTTGACTTTAAGCACGTTCCCGCCGCCGCTTTTGACGCGCGCTGCGAGTGAGGCCAATTTTGTTCAATTGGTGGCTGTCTGCCAAGCTTAGGAGCCCATGCCCATTGGGAATAGTAAACTACAATGTTTCAACAAGCATCGATGTGGACAAGGGGCCCTTTCAATAATTGGATCATTGAAGCCTTCCAAAACCCTCCTGTCCACTTCCATGATTGTGGGCACAGGGTATTGTTTTTTGATTGAATCTGACGTACTGCTTAAGGGTGACACTCCAAGCAGCAAACATGTTGCCATGTTCACCTCTTTGATGCGACTCCGTTCAAGCTTCGACGTGCTGCGCAGTGCCCGCTAGGATCTGAATGTCAAGTTGGGAGATTTCGGCCTGAGCAAGGCGGGGCGAAAGAGCTGCGGGCGACTGAGGCAGAGCAGCAAGCGTATGTACGGAAGCCGGGGCGCCAACACAGCAGTGGGCTGATATGACTCATTGACCTCTCTCCTTCTGGTGTAAGTTTGTGTTGTTGGTGTGACATAAGCCTATTTGTGTGCCCCGGGTGACAGCCCTTGCAGCAGACATAGACCCCGGCAAAGCCACAAGAAGACTTCGAGCATCCGTTATTTTGCTTGATTCAAGCGCTTTAGCACGCACTCTCGCCACATTCGGCAGGTGATGCCGCATGGCGAGCACGCGGAGTCAGTGCAGATGTCTGGAGGCGTTGGCACCTGGCGCTACATGGCACCGGAGGTGGCCAGGCACCAACCGTATAGCGACCGCGCGGACATCTACGCCTTCAGCTTGCGGCTTGGAGAGATGGGCTTGTGCGGCTTGTCTTCCCGGACGTTCCACATGGGTCGGGTTTTTGACTTCTCTTTGAAGCCAGCCCTAAACCCTAAATACCATGATTACTACCAAAACAAAAGCAATCTGATAGACGAAGCATTCTTTCTGATTGATTGGGTTCCCTGTTCAATAATGTTTACTACTGGTCATGTAGGCGCTCTGTAGTGAGAAATCAGTTGGGAGCTGCTCGACTGTGCATGCAAGCCCTTTTTGTTGGTGGCCAGTGTTGTGCCACATAGAGGAGGTCAGTTTGTGGTTGCCAGGTTGTTTGTCTTCTTCGGGCCTTGCAGGGCTGGGCTGGAAGGACCTCTTCGGAAAGCTAGGTTCAGTCTGGAGTGTGCAGCTGAGGATCCTCTACCTCATTTTCTCTGGCCGGCAGCCTTTCTACTCGTACAGGGACCCGGAAGCCATTTTAAAGGCTTTTTGCGCAGCTCGGCCCATGCCGGAAATGACCGCCAGCGGGGCCAAACGGGCCATTGGGGAGGGAGGATGCCCCTGCAGCGGACAATGGGTGTGTGCGTTACAATCATGCAAGCCAAGCCACTGCTAGCCATGGTTCGAAGATTCGCGAGGAACCGCTGCAGGGAAACACACTGGGACATCATTTCAGAGAACAAGCCCAGGCGTTCCAGAGCCATCAAGCCCAGCTGGCCTTCATTTGCCCTTAAGCAAACCCTAAGCCTGCGGGATCCTGCAAAACCATGCCGTCTAGGTCACGAATATTGGCGTTTCTTCTTAGGCCCGACCTTTTTATTCCCCTTATAAGCAAAACGTGTGGTTTTCCTGAATGAAACAGCTGTGGTTCCGCAGGTTTGAGCCTTGCTTTCCATTCCAAGCTGCCATTTTGGATCCGTTTTTTTTGGACCCACGGCCATTTGAACGGTATCAGGAAAGCCCACGCTTTTTGCGACCGATACCCATATTAAATTCCTGTAGGCTCTGCCGCCTGAGGAGGGCAACGAACCCCGACCGCAGCTCGACTCTGTCCCCACTGCTGAGTTGCGGAGCCTCCTGAAGGAGGCGAGAGCGAGGGATTGCCGGACCAACAAGCCCATTGACATCAGCTAGTTTTGAATATGTGTTAGGTGTTTGCGATTCCCGTGTGTGTCCCAAGGGAGCTTTTGTGCAACCATGGCTCCTGTTTGGCTTCAGCTCCACGCTTATCCGTGCTTGTTGCGAGTTGCAAGCGGCCGCGACACTTGGCTCCCCAGCCAGGCCTGGCACACCACGCCAGAGCTTCGGCCCTCAGCGGCAGAGTGCTTGGAGAGGCTCCAGGCTTTGGCACCTCGGCTTTATTTAGGGCGTGGCTTGGTCCATTCGTTCAGCTTCGGTGGGCTTTTGTTCGGCTGCAGTTGTCTTCGATGGCGCTGCTTCGGTTTTGGTGCCAAGAAGGTGTAAACAAGCGGCTGTGAGTTTTACTTTGCCATGGCAAGCTGTGCTGACGTTCTCAATGGGTAGCTGAACTCGACCGAGCAACCAATGCTTTTGAGCGCGAAGCCGCAAAGGGAAGCTTGTACCAAGGCATGGGGATAGCTCACCTAGCTGGGAGCAAATATTCAAGTTCAGCAGAGGCCTTTCGATCAATGCCTCCAAGGAGCGGCCGAGCCTTCGCCGGTCCCTGCGGAACTGGGTTCAGCGAGTGAGGCAGAGATGAGCCTTAGCCACAGATGAAAACGAGCAACGGTGAATGGCAATGAGAACTTAATCAGGCTTGGCGGAAGCAAGTCGTATCCTGTATGTTCTAGCCCCAACCTTTACTAGCTGCGGAAGTGGGGAAATGTCGACGAATGGGCTGATGTTTTGAGGCTGGCTCAGGAGATAAACTTGTGTAGCTACCACACACATGCACTGACCACACACACACATTCAGGCCGGTGGGTTGTTTCAAACGACAAGCAGCTACCAAACTCCCGATATGTTCGGGACATGCCGCAGAACCAACGGCACGTCAATTGGCCAGTTTGTGCGGGCGCCGTCTTGCGAGGTTTAGTTGCCGGGATCTAACTTGCTCAGAATATCCAGGAAACCAGAAGTTTTTTGCACAATCCGCAGGCAATGCTTGAGTTAGTATGAAATCTAGAAACCAATGGAAACCGGTTTATATTTCATCCTGCCGCCTGCCTGGTTGGGTTCTGTGGTAGCTTTGCATGCCATAAGCTGTTGCTTCGCAAGCCAGGGCCTAAGGGCGAGGGGCGATAGCCAGGCGAGACATTCGCTGGAGCCAGGTGAGAAATTGGCGGGGTCAGGCACAGTTTCTTGAGGGACCCGGATCAGCCAGTGTAAGAGGAAGAAGTCGCCCCTCGCGCCCTTGTACAGAGTGTGCAGCAAGTGAAATCAGAGAATTGCCCAAATTTCTAGAGTTTTTCTATACTGGCGTCAGATGACTACGAATTCTGTAAAGTGCACCTTTGTAGGTGTGGGTCACTTATAAGACATCATGAGACATGCGTTGAACATAGGCCTTTGCTTATATGTTTGAATTCAGCCATTGTTCGCCTGCTGTTTAATTTTATGCTGTCAGCCCATGTCTGGCGATTGATTGTGTAGGGTCGATGGGGGCTGCGTCGAACACTGATAATTTAGCAGCTTGCCAAAATGATTAAACACGTGCTCCACTTGGGGCAGTCGATTCGCTGTAGTTGAAACGCTTCATGCGAGACAAGTAAAAGCGGACAGGGTGTGTTAGAGACCCTCATCAAGAAAAGCAGCCAGAATCATCACTAGCAATCCATCTCCAGATTTATCCGCTTTCGATAGACAAATTGCTGTGAGGAAGGGAAGCTCATTCACTTACTGTACTTTCAGGCGGCGTCATTTGCTGGTTTTAGTCTTTGTTTAGGCATGTCTTTCTTTTGTCAGTCTTGTTTCAGGCGCTTGACAATTCCTATCCCAAGCTCGCTCCGAGTTGGATGTCATCTGTCCCAGTATGTAAGTATACAAGCCTCCGGCTCCATCATCACTCGGTGATTGCTGTTTGTTTCTCGAGTCGGCCCAAAAGGAGCCAACAGAGCAACAAGCAGAGAGTGGTGATGGAATATATCGAGCTGTCAGTTACTACCTGACTCGTGGTTTTGAACGGAAGGCGACACACCGGCAGCCAGCATGTGGGGTGAATGGATGCCAGCTGGGCAAAAAGCACCGGGTCAGGAGGGCATCACGGGGGAAGGCCGTGAATTGCAACCTGGCCTGTGGTTCGATTCGGCTCGATCCCAACATGTGAAGCAGAGAGCGCCGGTTTTCGACTGGCCCATGGAACACCCCAGGCTGCAGGTCCTTTGAAGCCGAGTTTCCTGGAGCCAGTCACCAGCGACTCGCCCCAGGGTGCAGATGGAATTAAGTCTGGTTTGAAGCCTTGCTCCCTGAGTCCCGGAAGTCCTCGCGCTTTTTCCTTCTTCTTCTTCTTTTTTGTTTTGTGGGGGGGGGGGGACCACACTAAACACCATATATATATATATATATGTTTGGGGGGAACCACACTAAAGTGGCAAACAAGAAGTTTGGACTTCCAACTCAGGAAGTAAGAAGCCCTTGGGCTCTCAGAGCCGCTGTAAAGTTCAAGGGCCTGCAAGAACCGCGTGCGACCGCATGCCACAGGCAGTCCTGGACTGGCGTCCGCATTTTGCATTTCAGGTTGGCAGTTTCAGGAAGAGGTTTTAGAGATGTGTTTTTACTGCTTATATGATTCCAGACTAATATGACCAGTAAAAGGTTGCAAGGTATACATCCCTTTTGCAAGTGGTATATTATAGCTCATACCTGAAAACACCAACTTGAGCATTTGGGCCAGCTGGGATCAGATTGGCATAGCCTCGCCGAACTTGCCGGGTGCGGCTTTCAGTGGGGGTGCCGTACAGACTGTGAGAAGAAGAAAAAAGGCCGGCTCAGCCGGGAAATGGGATTGATGCCTCAGGCTAGCAATCGTAACCTCAAAACTTCCTATCTTGCATAGAAAAAAGGCCAACTCAGCCGGGAAATGTGATTTATGCCGACTCGGAATCGTAACCACCAAACTGGACCAAACTTGCAGGAAGCACAGCAGGAGGGACTCGGCCCCTGAGTGAGTCAGACCAAAAACACACACACGAAGCTTGGTAGTGTCCTTTTTGTCCTGACGTTGAGCACTGGTCACCTGTTTGAAGTGGGAAAGCGACCTTCACAGCATTCCTTTCGGAAGGATAGCCGGGTGAAAGTGGATGGTGCAACTCTCTGGCTTTAGTTTAACCACACCACCCACTTTACTTGTAGACGTAAAGGGAGTTGTGCCACCTATGTGCACCCTGGTGTAGTATGATCCCCCTCAACAGTTTCTGATTGCCAAGGTCCCCCTGGTCACCAACCCAAAAAATCCACCGCTGGTCAAGTACTGTACTTGAAGATTATTATTTTTTTAGGAAGAGGCACTCAATTTGACATGTACGAGCTCACTGCAATATTCCTTTGTGGGACAAGAAGGGTGAAGAGACAGCACACCGAACAAGGCACAAACAGATGGCACAGCACAGCCATTCTTAGCGTGTGATTCCTTAATTCATTGGGGGGGACGGCTGGTAAGGCATAGATGGAGCTGAATTGCAAGGACTTGGCCTCGGCTCGCACGGCTGACGGCTTGGCCAGGTGCTGCACGGCCGCGTCATTGGGCAGAACGAGGCCGTGACGGCAGTTGCCAAGGCCGTGCGACGTGCCCGCGCTGGACTGCACCTCGTCTCAGCTCTACCGCGCTATTGGCGGTGAAGGGCTTGCATTGTCCTCCGGTGCTTCCATGCACGCCTCAAAGGAAGCGTGGGGGGCGGGTGGCACTTCCACTTTCTGCATGGAAGTTCCTTTGCGCCTTGCGCTGGCATTTTTCAAGAGCTCTTTGAATTTCGGAACCGGATCAGAGCCGTCAGATTCCCCCGATGTGTTGGTGAAGTCTTGTTTAGTATTGATCCGCTACCCTGGACAGACGGGGAATTGGCACTACTTTGTGCACCGCTAGGACTGTATTCCCTACTGTTTTTGCCTATAGGCCGGGCACCAGTGTTTAAACGGACAATCCTTCTCCATTTGCAGCTGTCCAACAGTACCTGGTGTGTCTCAGGAAGAATCCGAACCGGCCCATCGCGTCCTTCATTTTCTGCGGACCCACAGGTGCTTGCTCGCCCAAAGGTTTTCGAGCCGAAAGTTGACTTGCGTGGGTTCCTGATATCGATGTGATTGTGGTTAGGTGAGGAAGCCAAGCAAAGGCCAGAAGTGGTCATTGTGCGAAACTTGCCTGCTCACGAGCGCACTCAGCCAAATGCCGGGAAACCTATCGTCCATTTTTTGGGGTTGCTTTGGTGATCTTAAAACTGCGGAGGACTTTTGAAACTGATAACATGGATGACAGCTCCCACGGCTCAACACATTTGATGTGGTGGGCCATATTTTCACTTCCCTCTTCACTTGGCCCAGTGACGAAGACCAGATCCTTTGCCTGCGGTGGGGGGAGGGGGTCCTTTTGCCGCAAATTTGCGTTTGTCTCTGAAGCGAATCCCGAAAATGGGGTGGGTGGTGTTCGCCTTTTCGCTTTAAGCCAAAAAAACACAGAGTGGTCAGGCGTGGGGAAGACGGAGCTGTGCAAGGCCCTCGCGGCCGCCTACTTTGGCAAGGAGGAGTGACAGAGCAGAGCACGAGGTGCATAGCACTGGGGGGAGGTTGCCTGGTGTGGGTCGTCTAGAGTTGCACACAGCTATGCCCCTGTCGTGAACCAAACCAACAACTCAACGGACCAAGGGAAGGTTTTGGAAGCCTGGGAAGCTTCAGGGCAGGCGCAAAAATTGGAAGCATATGCAATCCGCTGCAATTGGTCCTTTCCTATGGCAATTTCCTGAAACACGTCGAGATGCAATATGGGGGTTGCCCAAAATGAAAGATCTAAGGCTACGCAGGTGTAATTTTGAGTATCATTTTTTGAGCCACAGCCGTTTCTGCCAAGCTGGGCTTTTGTATTTTGGATAGCCTAAAGGAATTCGTGGCATGGGACAAGGAGGCCATGATCCGCCTGGACATGTCGGAGTTCATGGAGAGGCACACCGTGTCCAAGCTCATCGGCAGCCCCCCGGGCTACGTGGGCTATGACGAGGAGAGCCAGCTGACGGACGGCATTCGCAGGAAGCCCTACAGCCACCTGATCCGACATTCTGACTTGCCCAAAGCCAACCTTTGGACTTGTTGGTTTTCCCATTTTGGGCCATGTTTAGTACAGGTCCCAAAATGTGAACATTTCCAGGGCCTTTGGGCAAGCGAGCATTGTGAGATGTTTGAGTTTTTGGGGTTGGTGCAAAAGCATGCCGCGATTGGTTTCAGCATTGCTTTGGGGGGACATTGTTGCTAGGGTAGACCTGTTACCCTTTATTATGTTCGCTGGTGGCCGCTTTTGTTTCAAGTCTTGTGGCCATTCTGAATCAACTACCTACTCACAGGCTGGAGCTGGCAAGAAACACGCTTGTTGAGAGGTGCTGACGTGAGGGTTTGCGATCGCATCGCTCCAAAAGTTTCGGATGACTCTGTCTTTCTTAGGGGGCCCTCACAAATACGAAGGAGTTCCCTTTGGTGTCCCTGTAAAACCACCAACAAAAAACGGGGCACCAACTCCAGCGCCATTCGGAGTTAAGGCTTGGTGCTCTTCGATGAGGTGGAGAAGGCCCACCCTGACATCTTCAACCTCATGTTGCAGATCCTCGAGGCCCGCGATGCGCGCATTTTTCCGCGAGCAGGCACAGAGAGGTAGGCGTCTTGACTTCGGTGGTTGAGCCAATTCTGATTTGAAATAAACTGGTCATGGAACCGGTGAACATCATAGCGAAACATATATATATATATATAGATATATCTAGTTCAGGAGCACAACGAGGAAGTGTTAATACCCCGCGAATTGCAAAGCATCGGTTGCGATGGGATGCTGCTTTTGCAAGGGGTTTGCGCATGCACATCTTGTCAACATGATGTGTGTTTGGCTTTGCGCGTTGCTTCGGCAGGGCCTTGAGCTTAGCTAGCAACTAGATCAACTAGTTTGTTGGAAAGGTGGCTTTCAGCAGGGAAAACAACCTACAGCCGAAAAGGCAAAAACCGACTTGCCCATTTAAAGTGTAGCTGCCTGACCGGTTTGGTTTTGGCCTTGCCGGCGCGGATGTGCGGATTTCTCAAGGATGGCCGCCTGACGGACTCCAAGGGCCGCGTGGTATCCTTCAAGAATGCCTTGATCATCATGCCGCTAAGCACAGGAGGTAGCGAGAGCTTCCACATGGGAGCTCCAGTCGGCTTTCTAAGAGCTCCGAAGCTCCCAAACCAAGAGCCTAAGAAGCAGGGCTTTTCGATGCGCTCGGCTCAGGACCTCGAACGTTGGGGCCAAGGCTATTGAGAAGGGCATCCAGGGTGGTGGCGGCATTGGCTTCAGCGGTCTGGAGGCGCACGGTTTCTCCGCAGTCAGACACATAGTCCTTGGAGAGTGCTTGGTCGCTGATTTTCCCGGCGCTGGCACCATCGAACCGTGTGCTGTGGATTCATGCTGGGGGCCAAGGCACTGAATTCCAACCTTGGTCTTGCAACAGTGGTTTTGCTCGGCTGAATGTTTGGAAGAACTCGGGCAGTCCTTTGCGTATTGATTCAGCTGTATTCGGACGGTGTCGTTGGCGCGGCGCACCTCAGAGAGATTAGGACCCCCCCCACCAGAACGGTTCTCAGCACCCTTTGACAACTGAGACGGTTCTAAGGAGCTGTTTCTGTTTTTGTTTTCGATTTCTTCCCGAGCTGGGAGTCGGGTTCGATTCTTCCCGATAGGACGGCGAAGATGCAGAGACCTCCAGCTACAAGCGCCTAAAGTCGCTTCTGTTCGATGAGTCTCTTGGATCAAGCTGCAGCTTGCAATTAGATGCTTGCCCAGGCTCAGAAGGGTTGTCCTTGGTTCATGGGTTTCTGCTTAGTTTGATCCGATGAACAGGTGCTGATGCAAGCTTTGGGCACAGATGATTATGTTGTGAATAATGAATGAGCTCACACCCAACAATTGCAACATTGACAAGGTTTTGCAAGAGCCTAGCAAGAGTTTTGCAGAAGCAGCAACCTGCCTAGGAGGACATAGGTGCTTGATATGCTTGCAATCGGTAATTTTGGGTGCCACGGTTGCCACATCACCCCAAAGAGGGAGAGCGAGAGAGAGAGAGAGAGAGAGAGACATAATCCCAACAGAGGCTACTACCAGCCAACTTTTGAGGGGATTCCACCGTTGGGATGCCCATGGCAGCCATAGAATAGGCTTGAATTTTAGTTGCACAGGTTGCAGCATGATGCTACAGAAGCTGCATACATTTTTTGTGCATTGTTTGTTGACCGCTATACTTTAAGTATGCCACGACACACATCATCGACACATTTGCTAACCACTCGCTACCCTCCCGCCAACTAGCATGGAAGTGTGCACAAACCCCCTCTCCAAGAGGAAAGTCGTTTTTCCACAGCAGGGTTGTGGGATCGAGGGGTTTATCATCCCTTCTTCATATGGGGGGGTTAGTTTTGGAAGGCTCTTTTTATCACAGCAGTGGATTTCATTTCTCACAGGGTCCCACAGCCCTATTCTACAGGGGTCGGTGGGAGGGTACACATTTGGGCATTGGCGCCTTAGGCTGAAGAACTTCTTCAAGCCCGAGTTCCTGAACCGCCTGGACGAGGCCGGTAGCAAGTGAAGCAAGGGAAGGGGGCCAGGCCAGATGTTTTCTTTGCGCTGGGCAAGACCAAGTGTTCTCCTCACTGGTCTAGAAAAAATCGACGATCTTGGAAGGTCCCTGAGCCACTCCTCAATAATTTGCTAGTTTGCAAGTCTGAAAAGTAAAGGAGTTGTTGTTTGTGCTAGAGAGTGCGGGGGGGGGAGGGGGGAGTGACTTTTTTGAGCTTGTGAGTAAACATGATCCTGCACTGCCGGCCGCTGCATTTGGTTTTGCAAGGCTACCCTTGAGACTCACACTGCAACAGGAATCCGTACAGCAAGTATGTATTGGCAATTGCTGTGTTTTCAGTTCTTGAATGTGAGAGGGGCACGCGGACGGCTTGAATCACGGGGTGTCTTAGAAGAGTGCCAAAACCCGGTTTGAGGGGCGCCATCCAAGTCGTTTTAGTGGTTGGCAGTCGGCTGGCTTTTCGGGGTCTTCATAAACGGTTTTTTTCTCGGTGTAGCCCGGGTTGCGCCAGTGAGCCCATGCCTCCCCTCCCCTGGTGTCACCTCTGCGAGGTGGGTGTGGGTCAAGATAAACCACCAGGAATTGGACCCCAGGTTTTGATCCTGGGTTTCATCCAGGGCAAGCCATTTTGGGGTTACCCCATTTTTGACCCACAGGTGATCGTCTTCAGATCACTGACCAAGCCGGAGGTGAGTCAGATCGCAGAGCTGGAGCCCCCCAGCAAGCAATCAGGCGTCGAAATACGCCGCGTTTGGAGCCGGATCGGTGTCCTTTTTGGTTGGTTTGCTTAAAAGATAGAGGGCGATTCCTTTTCGATGGGGTGAATATTCCATTTACCAGGACCATCTATTTTTCCAAAAGGCCACCTGTGTTGTAGCCAGATCGGTGTGTGTGTGTGTGTTTCTTTTCGGGTACCCCGGTCTTCTTTGGTTGGTTTAAAGGGAAAACAAGAGCCACCATGTTGAGGGTGTTGGCAGATTGCGACTCATTCCCCGTTCTACTCAACTTAGGTTCAAGAAGACCTTTGGCCGCACCAAGGAGCGAGGCGGGAAGCTCAACAGTTGGTTGCTCTGCGCGAAAGGGCATGCCTTGCAATCAAGGATTTGTGGCTTGTGGGTGGGGAGAAAGCTTGATCTGGCCACGAAACAGGGAGGGTTTGGCCGCATTGCCTGGGGAACGGCCACAAGGGCACGCAGAATTTTCTGCAAAAGCTGAATCATGCTGGATAACCAATCCACCCACCCCACCAAGTTTGATACCCCAGTCCACTCACAAAGGTCACAGTACCCAAGCTGGCGGCCACATCAAGCAACGGGTTTGGCAATCCGCGCGACGTTGCTGCCAGGCATCCACCTGAGCATGACGCCCAAGTTCAAGCAGAAGGCTTGCGAAAACCAACTTGGGTGGTAGCTGGCTTGAACTGTTTGAAGTGTCATTTTGGGCAAACCCCAAAGACATTGTGGGACCTGCAGATGCGAATGGATATGTTTGGGGTTGGCAACTTGTTCAGAGACCTGAAAGGCAGTGTAACTGCTACAGCCGCCCTCAAATCAAGCAAGAACATGAGCCTGTCTTCAGCACTCGCACAGTCAGCTGATGAGATGGGTGAGAGCTTGTTTCTCAACTTTGCCTACTGTACCCATGCGATGGGAAGGGGCACTCGGTTGTGATTGATTGGGCATGATTGGACAATGATTCTTGCAATGCTACTACTCACTTCCTGAGTTCTTGAAATTTAATCTCTTTGGGAAGACCTTTTTTTTATTGTAAACATAAAGTTTGGACTTTTTATGGCCAGTCCACTCAGAAAGCGAGACTATGGAAGTGGTTGATGCAGACGCCATGTTTTCAGGTGGTGGATGAGGGCTTCAACCCCACCTACGGTGCGCGACCGCTCCGTCGTGCCATCATGCGCCTGGTGGAGGATGAGTTGGCAGAGTCCTTCCTCAAGGAGCCCAGCCGGGCAAGGGGTGACAGCTGAACGACTGGGAGATAGTAGATGTTATTTGTTATTTGTTTATGCTGTTTTTTAATGGTGATAGTCTGATTCAGTTGGCAGAAAGTAGAAGGTACAGTTCGCAAATGTTGGTTTAGCTATCACCTGTGCTTACCCTACGGGGAAAATTCACATGCCATCTACTGCTACCATGGTGTACGAGGGGACTCTTGTTTTTGTTTGGCTATTCCCACCCTTCCGGCCATTTTTTGGCTAGAGCGAGCCAGTGCTGTGATGGCGGGAGGGGCGGTTTTTGCTGGGCGCAGGGCTCTTCAGGCCGCTCCACCCATCCGTCCATCCTTCCTTCTATCCATCCACCCACTTCATCCGCCCATCCACCCACCCACCCACCCACCCACCCACCCACCCACCCACCCACCCACCCACCCACCCACCCACCCACTCCCACCCACCACCCACCCACCCACCCACCCACCCACCCACCCACCCATCCATCCATCCATCCATCCATCCATCCATCCATCCATCCATCCATCCATCCATCCATCCTTTTGACAGAGCTTCGGCGACGCGGGAAAAAGAGTGGTTGGATGGGGACGTCGCAATTCAGCAGTTGGGGACATTGCAAGCCGCATCAGGTGCAGAAATCTGAACTTTGCACGTGGTGCAACAATTTGTTCATCCGTGGTAACTAGGAGTTCAGTTGTTTGTTTGACCTTGCCTATGATTGGGCGACGCCAGTGAGTAGTGTTGCAATTGAAACTTGCTTCAACTATGAAAATAGGTATGGCTTCACACATGTCGAGTTTGCTTGCGTAGACGTGGGCCAGCATACAAAGCGTTGTCTTCGGCTGTAGTTGCCTTCGGTGAAATGCGGACCCCTATTTCGCATTCTTTGCTGTCGGCCGCCTAGTGATGCTTCAATTACAAGGCGTGCTTTTGGCTATGAGTTTTTTTGAATATGGTCCCTCCTCAAAAGAAGGTGGACATTAATCCCTACCCCAAATGCTGCGCACAAGCAAAATCCGCAATTGAACATCATACCCATAACATAGGGCTATGTAGAAACATCACGGATTTCACGTCACGTGCAACCGCAGGAGCCCACGAAAGAGGGCGAGCACATCCTGATGGACGTCAATGCCGATGGCAATGCTTGGGCCCTTGTGGTGACCCTTCTAGGCCTTTCATGGGTTGCAGTCCGTGCAGCTTGTTTGTGTGTTGCCCGGTGCTAGCAATGAAGCTTACATCTACCTGCTGAGGACTTCAAAGTCGGATGTTTGGGCGGCAGTATGGACATCATACATGAACCCGCAGTTCAATTCCATTGGACAAGCAGCTTTCGGGGGTTTTCAATGCAAGCAGTTTTCGCAGTGGTGGCCAGTGGCATGTCGCACGCCTTTCGCACGAGGTGTTGATTCTCCGAGACCAGCCGGCCCCGGAGGGTGAAGAGGGTAACGAGGACTGCTATGAACAATTTCGAGCTGAGCAATTGGGTATGGGTCAAAACCAAACCACCAGGGGACCGCAGGTTTTAGATTCTACCAGGGTTCCATTTCGGGGACCTACTTTGTGACCCACACCCAAATGAACAACTGTCTCGCATGAAATACTGAGCACTGCCTTTGCAAAGGAGATGAAAGTGGTGGAGACTACAGCGGCGTGATTCCTGCACGTCGGATTTTGAACGTGGACTGTTAATGGAACGCGCGTTTTGAACATTCCGCGCAGCGACAAAAGTGAGCGCGAAGTCGAGGCTTGGAGAGTGGCTCAAAATAGAAGAAACCCTCCAACCAACCCAAAGATGGCCCCTCAAAAAACGGCACACCCATATTGCTTTTGCCGCACATGGGGGCGAGTTGTTAGGTGTTTGTCAGTCGACCTGTTGCACGCGGGTGCTTTGGCACATGACAGGCTTTGCTTGCTCGTCAGGCTATGGAAAGTGAAGAGGTCCATCCAGCTGTGAGTGCCGCGTGTGCTTGTACCTGGTAGAGTTTCACAGCAAGTGCGGCACGGTAGCGCTGCAGCTGAAGAGAGGGAGTGTGAAGGGGGCTTGACGATACGCGACTGGGCGATGCTCAATGTTTCCTTCCAAGAGATGTTTGCTCGAAGCCAGCGAACAACGTTTACACCTAGGTGAAGGACCAGCAAGTCGCGACGGGATCAACTAAAATAGCTGCATTTCATCTTGCAAAGCTGGGAAAAGCGCCTCAAAACACCCAGAGCGCACGTTGCCCCATCTTAGCTTCTGCCAATCACAGCCTGGAGAAATGGCCGGCGAGTCCCGAGCCGCACGGAGGCTGCTTGACCTACGAAGCCCCCGCAATGGCTTGAGGTAGGCTTTGCATGTCATTCTCTAGGGCCAACCAGCCAGGTCCCCCTTGCGCATGAATCTGTCAAAATGGCGATGTTGAAGCCTACTGCCTTTCATGTCTTGGCCCTGGCCATTGCCATGCCTTTCCGGTGGGGGACTTGGTAAGCAGGGGAAATTCTTTTAAACCACCAGGAGGCAGACACATGTTTCAGCTGATTCGCAAGCTAGCTGAACATTTCAGTTTGCAGTGCTTGACCGCGCCATGGCTACCTTGCCGCCTGAGCCGTGTGCTTGGTAGCAATGGCAGATGAAAGCAGCCCCTCGACATGATGGGCATTTTTTTCGGGTAGTTGGACGCAATGGTGAGGAAAGTCGCTCATGGCACTTCCAAAGGTGTGCCTGCAACTCGTTTGCCCAGGCAGGAGCTAAGGCCAAGGCATGCAGGTCCGACAAAGTTGCATGCACTGGTTTAGGGGGAGCTAAATGCTGCTTGAAGCCTGCAAGCTACACCCACGCCTTGCGTTGCTTTCGCTTGGCATTTTAGTTTGCCGCCCAACCATCTATGACCTCACTGCACCTTTTTGCTGAGACTGTGCTATGTTCTTTGGTCCAACTTGGCCAAACTGTTTGCCGCCCCTGGCCACGCTACTGTAAACCTCAGATTTGCTTGGCCACTTTCAATTTATTTTGGGTTTGGGTCGAAATTCATGGGGGGGGGCCTACTTTCTTGACTGCTGTTGGGTTGGATCTTTTGACTTTAGCTTTTCGGGAAATAAAGGTGTTTATAAACTTTTTGCAGGGGGGTCAACAGCAACCACGCTTTTGCGGCTTTTTTTTTGGGCACTCTGAGCCAACCTCCAAAAACGGGTCCCAAAACCGGTCGCCTGCCCGAGGACGCCATGGCCGGAGCCGAAGTCGGAGCCCTGAGACTTTCTGGGTGGAGGTGAAGCTCCTCTCGGGCCAGTCGCAGCTTGGAAGTCAGCGCTGGTCTCAAGGGTCCTCTTCTGACAGACCATGGTGAAAGCAGGAAGGACTCCAGGGAAGAAGTATGTCAGCCTGGCACAAAAACCTGGAGCCAACTCAGAAAGGTTGAATAGGATGGTCCAGGTTCATCACTTTGTGCCGTGCAATGGGGTGGGGGGGGGGGTTATTCAGATCAAGAATGAAGGCCCTATCGCCACCATGCAAAAGCAGGCTCATAAAAGTACCGTGACTTTGACAAATTGTCGTTGTGAGCCCATGGTAAGGTCCAATTGTGTTACGTATTTTTGCTGCAACTCAGGCTTGCAACAATGCAGGTCCAAAAATCCGTGCCTCGGATTGGAAGCTGGGAAGGGCTGGAGAGACTCTGTGAGCAGAGGCTGACTACTAGCACGCCGTATTGGCTAGAGTACAAGGTTGCGCCGTTGAGGTTCCTTCTCAACTCTGGTCCAAAAAGTGTGTCTCACGCAGCGCAAGGGCAGTGGTTATCTCACGTCCCGTTGTGTGGGCATGCGTCGTCGCTCATGGGTCATAGTCAAGCTCCATGTTGTTTTTTTTGTGGCATGCAGTCCGTGTGAGCTAACATGAAAACGCTGCTTGGGCGGCACTAGTGCGTTCATTGGTTGTTTTGACTGGGTTGCTCAAACAAGTCATGACCCAAGCAAGACACGCATTTGATCTTTGGTGTTAATATCCCTACAGCGTCCTCCTGTACTTTGGAATTATTTTGCCATGGTTTGGGAGCCAACTCGGAACTATCATGGATATTATTGACCCTGCAAATGTCACCCAATGTTACCTAATGGTCTACTCTTACCCAGTGTCGCCCAATTCTGCTTGATGTCCTTCCATAGCTCCCCACCCACAAGTCAACGGTATTCTGTGCCTTTGCAAATGCAAGATCCTGCCGCCGCGCAGAAACGCGTGTTGGAGTCAAGCAAGTCAACGGCATTGCAGGCATCAGCAGGATAACAGCTCAAAGCGGAGAGGCTGGCAAGAGAATAACTCAGGCAGAGAGTTGTCACCGGCGCACCCCCGAGGAGCCTTGGCAGCGATTGCGGCAGAGGATCGAGGCGTTGGACGCCTGCGGCGACCATTGGGCTCTGATGTTTGGAGACCGGGACCTGGAGGCAACAGCTGCCACAACCACAGCAGGAACGGATTTGGCGGGTCTTCATGGACCTAGGCATCAAAGGTGGGCTGCTTATTGGAGCCTAGGGTAAGCCTCCAATGGGGCCTTATTGAGGATTTCATGGGGAGGTCCATTGTGAGGGGTTACTTTGAACGTTACTTGGCACATGGTGGCCAATCGTTTTACAACACGGCGCCAGCTAGGAACCCTTTGCTTCTGGCTTACTTCAGTTGTACCTCTGGCTGGTAAGACTGTGTGAATTCGCGACAGATGCCATGCATTGCCCAATGAGGAATTTCACACATAGACTGTAGACTGCAATCCTGCTTTGTTGTTGGCCAAGTTTCTTTGCGACCCAGCTTGCATGCTTAGCTGTCATACGGTGACCCTCACCTCTTGCATCACGCCAGAGCAGCCGCACCATTCCATACAATTGCAAAGCCAAATATGCTAAGCAAGCCAGAATCCTCAGCGTACTACAGAGGAGCCCACATTGTTATCGCGTCATGTTCGATACTTCTGTGCACAATTGTAATCCCACACGCATGTTCAACCAATGGACTTCCTTTGCTTGTCTTTTGAGTGCACACATGCGCGTGCTTCATGCCCTGAGCGGGACAGGTTTCATTGTGATCCAGTGCCGACTCAGCGACAGTTGCTGCTGGCGAGTGCAAGCTTGGGAGTAGGGAAAGCCTTTTGATCTTCCAACAAGTTGAGGTCAATAAATCCAACCCAACAGCGGTCAAGTTTAAGATGACCAAAGCCTGGGTTCTTCTTCTCACATTCCCGATCGCAGCAACAAGTTTTTGCTGCGTCAAGGGGCCTCTGTGACCTGGCCCACGCGATCCCTGTGGACTGAACCTCAGGTTGACACGAATCGAACAATACATTTTTGTGGCCATTTTAAGGCTCTGGAAAGCGTTATGTTGCGAGTGGAGCACGCAGCAGCCCATCTTTACCTAAATATTTAGCTTTTGGCATCACATCTTGTACAGGGCTCCTTAAAAGATACATTTTGCAAATTTGAAACATGGCTTTTTCCACCAAAATAAGGGGAAACCACCATTTACAAGGCAATGTTCAGGTGTATAATGGAAGGATCCCTGTGCTTAGCTGAGATGCATAGTGGAGGAACTGCTTCCTCCAAATGGTGCTTGAGAACCATCGCCGGCTCTCCCTCATTGCCACAAACGCTGCTCAAAGCAAAGGGAACCAATGCCCAAACATAGGTGACCTTCTGGCAAAATAGACGGCCCTGGTACATGGGGCATAACCCCCATCTAAACCAGGAATCGCCCTCTATTTTCTAAGCAAACCAAACAAACAGGACACCTATGGGCCTAAACTTGCACCGCCTGTACAGAATGGAATCTTGCAGACCTGCCTTGTGAGTGGGACTTCTTTTGTTGAATGCATGCACTTCTTTGCAGGCCTCATGCAAGCATTTGAACTGGGTTGACTTGTTGGGAATTACTTACTTCACCTCGCATCATGTGCCAAATAGCTGGCATATAGCTGGCCTGAAGCTTCCAACAGTACTCGTCAGATGAGCGAAGGGAGGAGTCTTTTGAGCACACAATGTGACATCTCAACCATTTGATCTTTTGGACTGGTCAAATTGCGTGATTGTTTGTGCATGTGTGCGTGTTTGGGCCAGACTGGGTCTCCTTAAACCATGTCACACAACGGCTGACAACTGCCGGTGGTCTCGGCATAGCTGTTTCTCAGCCCCTTCCCCCCCGCCCTCTCCCGCTCTTTTGCTCGCAGGAAGTTTGGGCCTACGACAAAACTCGGTGCTGACGTTGCTGCGGCTGTCTCGCCGCAAGTTGTGCACGGCCTCTGAGGAGAGATGGGAGGGAGGAACGCTGGGTTCAAACTGCGTGCCCAGTTCCCATCCGAATGACACTTGTGCCAAAGTGAGTCGAATACGAGGTGAATATTCACCAGGACGATCATGTTGTTGCACGCTGTGATGAGAGGACGGCTGTTAATTTGTTCTTGAACGACCGCTGCCTGCTACCCGCACGAATAGCTTTGCCGGCCTGTTCGTTCAGTGATGGCCTCTCGCGCCCAAGGTTGGTCTCATGGAAACGAATCGCATGCAGTGGATTGACCCATTTTGGGCATGTAGAGGCGATGACCATATTGTGAGTTGTTCATGGACGATGAGCAGCGAGCGACAAACAAACGAGTAGGAGGAGTCTGAAGGGGCTAAAGATGGCTAAAGCGTTATTTAGACATTTGTTCTTCTCCATTCAGCATTGCAGCTGATTCACCAAGGTCAGCTTGAGGCAAACAGAACATGAACTTAAAACCCGAAGGTGTGTGAATTCCCATCAGGGCAAAGCTCACAGGTGTCACGGTATGTTGTGAAGGGGTTTGCCAAATCGAGCGCACTTTGTTGGTGTCTCCAAAATTGGGCCGTATTTTTGACAACCCGAAACTGATCGGGGCCCAACTGATCCGGAGGACGGCACGGCTCGGATCTTCGAGCTCAGCTCGGGCAAGAGCCTTTGCATCCTCGGGGGGTCGCCCGGCTCGGTGAGATAAGCTGCTTATGTGTTGCATGTCCGGTTTTTTGAGGGTACCTGTGTTTGATTGGTTTAATGAAGCCAAAAGGAACAAAAACCCCTTTTGGGGGGTCTGGATGTTCACTCTCGGGAGCCTCCACACTCCAAGCTGGTGACATGTGCAAACATATGCAACAGTTCGCAGGTTTGCAGAAGGTTTTGTTCCCCAACAGCTTGCAACAGTTGGTGGAAGTATGTTTATTGGGAGCATGGGGTTACATAGGCACAACTAGTTTGCTTGCTGGGGCATTCCTCTCAGCAGAGTTCGGGCATGTCTTTGGGATCTTTTGGAATGTATGCCTATTGCAGTCGTCGCCCCTAGGCATTGCAGTGGCGTGGTATCAGTTACCTTCTCTGAAGATGGCGCCAAAGCACTGACAATGACCTCGGCACGATCCATTGCCATGTACGACGCGCAAAGCGGTGTGCCTTTCTCAGCTGGAAGCGAGTCAAAATTGAGGCGTGATCATTCTGGTTGCCCTGGATTGGCGGCACCAGGTGCCATGAGTTCATGTTTGGCATGCATTGGCATGGGGCATTGGCGGCATTGTCACACCATGCTTTCACATGTTGCATGCGACTGGGCGACCCTTTCCGGGGGTTTGATACGGTGCCAAAATGCTGTGAGTCCTGACGCATGCTAGATGGTTGTCCTTCCTGACTGCAACCCGTTTTTCAGAGACCCCGTTCAATCCGTTCCCTTGGGTCTTCTCCGGCACTTGGCTGTGGTTGTCGAAACCAATGGGATCCAACTTTGGTTGGTAGGTGAATTCACCACCCATTTTTGAACCTATTTTAGGTGCACCACCCATTTTAGGACCTATTTTAGTGGTTGGATTGGGTCCCGTTCACTGGGGGCTAACCGATTTGGATTTTGACCCATGCAGGCACAGCTCTGGCGCGTGCTGGGCCCGGTCCAGGATGCCTGCCTGGCGGCGGATGGCCTTCGCGTGCTGGCAGGGCCCCAGAGCGTGCCATGAGGGTGGCAAATGGCAAACGACTTGAGACATAGGTGTCCTTTTTGGCTGTTTTGGCAGAAAAATAGATGGCGATTCCTGGTTTACCTGGTGGTTTAATCATCTACCAGGGAAACCCATCTATTTCCCTTGAAAGGGCGCCTATGACTTGAGATGGGTGTGGGTCAATATTAAACCACCAAAACCACCCCGCAGATTTTAGTCCACGTGCCCATTTACCAGGGCAAGCCATTTCGGGTACCTATTTTTGACCCACAGCCACATGCAAGTACATCTTCCCGGTTTTACGTGGCAAATGACCCAGGATCCTACCAGGAGTTGCCAAAGCATCAATGACTGCTGGGATATCAAGTTCGTCGGCTGGTGGGACTTGTTATCAACAATGATCAACGTTTTTATCGGGTGTGCCAAGTACAACTGCTGCACGCAAGTTTGATTGGTTGTGAAATGAAGCAAGACAATGGATTGATGGGCTACCCCATCATTGTCACAGCACTTCGTGTTTGATCACAGGGCCCCGATTGCTATTGACATGGATGCCAAATCAAAACAGCTCAGGTAGAGACAACTGGTGGTAAATGAACACTGAGTTCTTGTTTTGTCCAGTGCGGTAGACGGCACACAAGTTTTGGCGGGTTGTGCCACCATTTGTTTGCATCTGGAGCAACTGGACCAGTCGCCTTATGGAGAAGGAGTCATTGTTGTGGAGCGACCTGACGCTTGTCACACATGACGATGGGTGGTTTGAGTCCACCCTGAGGTCCGTTTGTGAATTTGGATTTCAGACGAAGCACACATTTGACAGTTTTGGATTCATCGGCAATTAGGACATCATTTCAAGCATGAGCATGGTTAGAGCCAGGCATCGAACACAAACCCTTTGACCGCATCCAATACGAGAACGCGCGCAGGTCATGGACTCCCATTCCGTGGTTGGCTTACTGGATGCTTCGACGGGGAGGTTGCTGACGAACTTGGTGCATCATGCGCAGCCCGGCGCAGCCACGTGCAGACTTGGAACGGCGAAAAAGACAAGCTACTTTTTGACAGCAAGGCCAACAAAGCACTGCCAGAAAGAAAGAAGTGAGGACCGGAAATGTGCCGTCACAAATTGGAGGATGTTGACAAAATGGTTTGCATGGTGGGGTATGCATGTGAGAAGCTTTCGAGGTACTACGTATGCACAGCAGCGCCTGGGCTTGCACGTGCGTTGCCGGTATCGGAAGTTGGTTTGCCACGAATGCTGGCACGTAGCCGGCTTTTGCGGCAAAAGCGGTAGTGTAGTGTCTGTGTTTCGGCTAGATGCCAGCGACCTTTGGGGTATGATGCTGGCCAACAATCAGAGTGAGGTTAAAAGCGCTGGAGCTCATCCATTGTCATTATATATGTACTTATTATTATTTTGTAAGGTTATGAGCTGTCACTTTCGTGATGTGCGACTGTCAAGTATCCCACGGGCACCGATGCGAAGATGTCATTGGAATAAATGCCACAGTCACTGGTTTGAGGGTGTGTTGGAGGGCGATTGGCAGATCGCTGGCTTTACCTGGGACGAGGCGTTGGATTTCAGGTGCACCTTTTGCTATTGAGGGCTTTAGGGGTTGCAAGGTAAGCTTCTCATGATGAGTAGTGCCCTGGATTTTATGTTTGCATCCTTACTGAGTTTCGGCAGTTTAAAGGCCTACTTGGTTCAAAGCCAAATATGGGTGTGTGTGGAACCAACACAAAACCAACTTGTATGGCCCCCTATTTTGACACGGGCATGGGTTCCAGACGGGTATTCTGAGGTCTTCTCACCAGATGGAAAGGCGCTTTTGACGAGCTCTGTCGAAGGCTTTGCCCGGCTCTTCGATGTAGAGTCTGGCAACTGTCTGGTGACTTTTGGGCGCAGGCCGTCGGAAGGATGCTTGGCTGTTTGGAGTTCCTCTTCATATAAAGATGTTGTTCGTCTGGTAATGTTGACCGCGTATGAACCAGCCCCGGTGTCGTTTAAAATAAACCCACGGACACCCCCTATTAATAAACGGAGGGGTATCATTTTTTTAATATTTTGTTTGTTTCTTTGCGAGTTTGTTTGCTTAATAAACTGGGGATGATTAATATGGGGTCAGCATTAGTTGGACTTAGTCCCCTCAAACTATCCAGACTGAAGCCTGGCGTGGCGGATTGGTTGCGGTTGCACAGCTGCCAGGCGCTTGGTTCCACTATTTGGATGCAACAGCGGTGCAACGCAGAAACACACAGACAAACACGATCATACACCACAGAAGGTTGAATAGAACGCAAAGCCACACACGGCTCAAACCACAGAACACACAACACAGCGCAAACACGCACACCCACACACACACACACCACGCAAAAGAGAGACATACACACACACAGTCACACAGACATAGTCACACACACACACACGCACACACACACACACACCCACGTACAAGCGCACAAACACACACAAACACCGCCCGCGCGCACACACACACACACACACCCACACGCAAACACGCAATCACACACAGCCACACACACCCACACAGACACACACACACACACACACACAACCACACACAACACACACACACACACACGCAAAAACACAGACACAGACTCACACAGAGACACACACACACACACAAACACGCGCGCGCGCACGCGCGCACGCACGCACGCACGCACGCACGGACGCGCACGCACGCCCGTGCATAGACACACACACACACACAGGCACGCACGCATGCACGCACGCACGCGCCCCCGCAAACACACAAACACAGAAGACACACAAAAGCACACAAAGAAACTACCACACACCAAAAACACTCAAAGAAACAAACTAACAATCAAACAAACAAACAAACAAGCAATCAATCAAACAAACAAGAAACCAAACACAGAAACACGCAAACCCACACGCACACACCCACACGCACACGCACACGCACACACACACACACACCCACGCACGCACGCACGCACGCACGCGCGCGCGCACGCACACGCACACACACACACACACACGCACGCACGCACGCACGCACGCACGCACGCACGCACGCACGCACGCACGCACGCACGCACGCACGCACGCACGCACGCACGCACGCACGCACGCACGCACGCACGCACAGACGCACAGACACACAGACACACAGACACACAGACACACAGACACACAGACACACAGACACACAGACACACAGTCACACAGACACACAGACACACAGACACACAGACACACACACACACACACACACCCACACGCACACGCACACGCACACGCACACGCAGACGTGCGCATGCACGCAAGCACCCACGCACCCACACACGTACACACACACACATGCGCACGCACGCACGCACGCCCACCCACACACACACAAACACACACACACACACACACACACACACACACACACACACACACACACACACACGCGCGCGTCCGCGGGTCATGCACGGGCACACGCACGCACATAGAAACAAAGAAACACACGCACACGTTCACCCAAAAGGACACAAGACACACACACATACACCCGCACACATGCACACACGCCCACACCCACCCATCCGCTTGCTTGCGCACGGCACCGCCACACACACACACACCACACCCATTTGGTCGCTTGCGCGCCCACGCACGCACACCCACAAACCCACGCACCCACGCACGCACACCCACGCACCCACGCACCTTTGCGCGCGCACAGGCACAGGCGCTTGTACGCACATGCACACATCCACACACACACCTGCACGCATGCACACATTTTGCTAACATGTGCGCTTGCAATTTGATTTGTCCTCCGCGACGATCTTCTCCGCGCACCGAGGAAAGACCCCAGGCATGTCGGCAGCATCCTTTTCCCCGGACGCTAGCAAAGTGCTGGTGAGCTTGTATGATGGATCTGCAGATCTCTACGAGCGAAGTTCGGGTGAGCGGATTTGCTCCTGCGCTGCCTGGCCAATGCAGGCTACAGTTACACGCACGGCGAAAGGCAACAAGTCGATTTCTGCCCCCCCCCCGCCCGCAGTGATATTCATGTTTGTTCGAGTTTCACGATCCCACATGACTTGACTGTATATAATTGTGAACGCTGCGCGTTGCCCGCCTCGGCCAAGCCGAGCGCGCAGCGTCTGTGGTTCGACTGCAAGCAGCAGAGCTGGTCAGGCATGGACAGGTTCTGGCGTCGTTGGACCAATTGATGTCACGGGCCCGCAGAAATCCCCGAGGCAAGGGCAGTTGGGCTGGGTCTTGCTTTGGAGGGCCTGCTGGGATGTGCCTTGCTTGGGTGGTTGCTGGTTGGGCTGGGCCTGAGGCGAGTGTCAGACACTGGGCTGTTGGGCTGGGCTTTGAGGCTACTGGCCAGCAGGAGGTCATGCTTTCGGCCAAGTGCATCTGGGACGTTTGGTCAAATTTTGCCTCACGGATTTCAGAAGCTGCTTTTGCTTCCTCACTGCACAGGAACAAAAGCCTTCTGGGCAATAGGCGCTGGGATAGTCTGGGGTTAATGTTACGCCGGAGGCATAGTTCCCTGTTCTGAAGGCTAATCTCCTGCAATCAGCAAAAGGTTTAAAGTTCACTCACCTCAACCCAGGTTGGGCACCGAAAATCCTTGCGGTGTGCTACCATGTCGCCGGACGGCTTCTTGGCAATCAGGTCTGCCTAGCAGCCTAGGAAGGCGGAACAGGATCAGATTTGCCGATAGCTAGAAACCACGTCCTCATTTTTGACAAAGTGCAGATTAGCGGGGGAAAAGTTTTGGTGTGTCCAGGTGCCGCCCTAGAGTGATTCCCGCGTGTTGCTGATCGATGTTGCACTGTAGGACTTATCAAAACAGAAAGGGCAGCTATGAGGGCCCCTGTTTTTGCTGTTTTTGAGATGGAGCTATTTTGTGGTGTGTGTCTGTCTTGATTGGTTTGCATTCATCTCCATGAAGGGTTCTTACGAAGATCTTCGATCAAACACTTGCCTTGCAGATTCCCGCATCTTCTGTTGTTCTGTCTGGAGCCTGTCAACACGAGGGGGGGGGGTCAAAGAAAAATCACAAAAACACAAAAAACAATTTCTTCTTTTCCGACCCCCCCCCCCAACCAGACCCGCCCCTTGCCCCCCAACCATTTGTAAATCTATCAACTTAACATTGAATTGGCAATACTGAATTAAGTATTGGGATAGTTATTCAGTTTAGAATTGGCAATATTTGCATTAAGCACTGCGAATCTGCGAGGAAGTCTTGGCAATACTAAATCGAGAATTGTCAGCATATACTAAATTCAGTACAGGGAATCTGAAAGTAAGGCTTGGCAATGTTCAATTTGGAACTGGCAATACTAAATTTAGAATTGGCAATACTAAATCAAGCACTGGGAGCCAGTTGGGAGCCTGAGTGTAAGTCTTGGCACTGCTCAATTCAAAGTTGGCACTCCTAAATGAAGTACTTTGAATGCAAAAGTAAGTCTTGGCAATACTAAATTTATAGTTGGCACTATTGAATTAAGTAATGGGAATGTGAGAGCAGGTCTTGGCAATACTACATTTAGAACTGGCAAGACTGGATGAAGCACTGTGAATCTGAGTGCAGGGGGGGGGCAAGGGCAGGGGGGGGGGGGGTCTGGTGATGGGGGGGGGGTCGGCAAAGAATATATATATATATATATATTTGTTTTTCTCGAGTTGCAATTGGCAATGCTAAATTTAAAATTGGCAATGCTGAATCAAGCGCTGCGAATCCTAGAGTAAGTCGTGGCAATACTAAAATTTCCAGTGGCAATACTAAAGTAAGTACTGGGATTCTGCAACTTTGAGAGTAAGCCTTGGCAATATTCGATTTAGAATTCACATAAATCAAATAAGCACTGGTGAGAATCTGGCAATACTGAATCTAAAATTCTGAATATATACAACATTAAGTAATTACTGGGAATCTGAAAGTAAGAGTAAGGCTTGGTTATTTTCATTTGGGAATTTGCAATACTAAAATTAGTACTGGGATCTGAGTGCAAGTCTTGGCAACGCTCAGTTTAGATTTGGCAATACTAAATGAGGTACTTGGAATACGAGAGTAAGTCTCGGCAACATTCACGCAACATTCACTTTATGATTGGCACTACTAACTCAAGCTACATTTAGAATTGGCCATAATAGATAAAGTACTGGGGATCTGAATGTAAGTTTGGCAATACTCAATTTGGAATTGGCAATACTAGATTCAGCACTAGGAATCTGAGAGAAAGTTTTGGGCAAGACTCAAGTTAGAATTGGCAACTAAGCGAAGTACTGGCATTGTCTTCAGCACGAGGGAACAGGTTGAACGCCACGGGCTCTCCATCCGAGGAAAGCTGATCCTCACAGCATCCAAAGACTGCACCTCAAAGCTGCATCTTGGCAGAACGTGGCGTGCCGTGGTTGGGATATGGGTATGGGTCAACATTAAACCACCACGAAACCGCAGGTTTTGGAAAGTCCATATATATCCATTTACCAGGTTTCCCTGTTAGATACCTATTTTGGCAGGGTTTCTTGAAAGATACATTTTGCCCATTTGAAACATGGCTTTTTCCGCCAAAATAAAGGGAAACCACAATTTACAAGGCAATGTTCAGGTGTTTTATGTAAGGATCCCTGTTTTCACCCACAGCTATATTGCAACGCTCAGATTCCTAGGGCATCCGCACGGCACTCGGCACTCAGCGATCTCACTGCAGGTTTTGCGCCTCCACGGGCCGCTGCCTCAGCACCTACGAGTCACCGGCGGCTTTGTGCAGGGCCAGCTTCGGTCCGTCAGAACAGGTGGGGGGCCGGGGGGGGGGGGGCGAGACCAGTACATCCCAAAGTGTTTTGCAAATTTTGCAGACCCCGCTTTTGCTTGTGCCCACAAGCTGTCCATAGGGACTGCAAACCAACCAGCCTGATTCAGAATCTCGCTAAGCTGGCGGCATGCGCCTAACTCTTTTGGAAGAGCTCCCTGCAGGTCCTTACAGCTGCTCAGGACGGGACCGCCCGGCTCTATGACGCTGGGGGGAAGTGCAGCCCGGCACATGCCGTGCGATCCTTCGGCTCTTGCTGCAAGGTTTGTTGCTGTCGAGCTCAAGTCGTGGCGCTTCCCTCTGGCGTGCGTGCGCTCGATAGTCATTCTTGGTTGAAACATTCAGGGGCCTTGCCGTAAGGCCCCTGAACCTTGCCTGTTGAAAGAAAGCACAGGCGCAAAGGGCAGGGACTGGGGGACCAGGGGGCCTGCCTTTCCGTACTGATCCTACTGAATGCAAGGCACCTGATGGTGAGAGTCCTTGACATGCTAGAGCTTAGTCGATTCTTGCGGAGTTTATCTACTCTTCCACCTTCCGTTGGAAGTTTCAGCATAAAATAGGTCCCCAATGGTACCATGTTGGGGTTGGTGAATTCACCACCCGTTTTAGAACCTATTATAGTGGGTATTGAGATGTCTGGCGGGTATCCGGGCTTTTGACCCATCAGAGAGAGTGGTCGAGACTTCTGAGGCATCCAAAGCTTCAAGGACCACTCTGCGCCAGTGCTGAACGCCACCATGTCCTGGGATGGCAAGCTCGTGCTGACCTGCCTGGGCCCTCGGCGAGCACTGAACTGGGCTGAGGGCGGACATGGGCCCGCCTTTTGTGGGAACCTTTTTTGGGGCTGGTTTAAAGGAACGCCAAGAGGATAACCACCACAGCCACCATATTGTTGTTTTTAGTTTTTTTGTCCTTTTTTTGGGGGGGAGAGGGGGATTCCTAAAAAGACACACACTGCTGTGGGAGATTTGTCGTAGGTGTTCAGTAAAACTGTTGAGCAGTCCGGCCAGTAGGTGGACTAAATGCTGTTGTGGCCCGAGTCAGTCTTATTCCAGGCGGTGTGAATTCAGTGACTTATGTTTTGTTTCAGCTGTTTGTGTGTGTAAGCGTGCGTTTTGTGCGAAGCATCCCAGCATTTGAAGCAAGCAGCCAGTGAGAGATAGGTGATGAGTCCAGCTGACTTTCTCCCGCCAGTGCCAGGGTCGGGTGCATGCTGAGGGTCGAGCGACTTGGACGCGAAGCTTTTCGACGCCAAAACCGGGGAGTGCCTCCGCAGTTGCACAGCCGCAAGGAGGCAGAAGGGTGTGCATGTGTTTTTCGAGCTTGTCTTTTTGGATGGAGGGGAAGTTGAAAGGCAAAGCAATTTTACAGTGGGTCCAAATCACTGTATCTTGACACATATCCAGAAGCCAGAGCTTCAACGCACTGCCTTTTGCGGAGGGCCTTTCTATCTTAATTGGAGGAGCAAAGCGGTTCTGCTAGAAATTTGCTATAAGCTTGTGCAGCCCAAAAGGATGCATGCGCTTAGAACATGTAGACATGTGAGAGAAGTATGCAGCACACAAAGAAGCTCTCGCTGGAAATAAGTATGTCAGACATGTTACAATGCCTGACCATTTCTAAACATAGACACCAATTCGCTCCCCTGCAGTATCAGCTCAGGTTTCTCTGAGGAGCCGAATGTGCAGGGTACGCGTTTGAAGTGCAGAGGGCCTGGGCCATAAGACATCAGCAAGACATAGTTGCTGAAGGTTTCAGGGTGCTGCATTGAGATGCATTGAGCCCATTGAGCCGTGTTGCCTGCAGGACTCGCCATGTTCTAAAAATCTCTTTGGGGGCTGACCATTGGCCAGTTGGCTTGAGAGTGCGCCAAAAGGCACAGTGGGCCAGGCTGCCAAGAAGCTTTAGACAGGATGATTCAACATGTTGTTTGGGTGCACGGCGTTGAAGGACGAATATTCCCTGCTTGCTTCCAACAAGCCCCCCACCCCCCGCACCGCCGCGTGCAAGCGGCAGGAAGATGGCTTTGTGACCTGCGCTCAATGGGCGCCTGGGGCACGACAGCTGCTGCTGGCGCCTCGCAGCAAAGTATCCAATTGGATCGTGAGCAAACTGAGTCGCTCCGTTCACCCGCACACAAGTTCGGGGCATTTCTTTTTTGTGCTGCAAGCAATTTGCTTCAGCTTGGTGATGCCAAAATTGCGCCAAGGGCCTTTTGGAGCTCGGGTGAAAACAGGAAACCGCCTTTGTAAAGGCACCCCTTGCAAACCTGGAGCGACGCCATGCCACTGTCAACCGATAGGGAGGAAGCAATAACCATAGTATCCTGCTCAAAGTAGGAGAGAGGGCACGCCCGAAATGATTTTATAAGTCATTGTTGATTTGTACAGCCTTTGATTGCAGACACGGTTCTTGAAAAAAACAAGGACACCCAGCCGGCATGAACACCGAGAACCAACCATTTAATAACCATATGACTACAAGTGCCGCCCAGTAGCCCAAGCGTGTTGGTTGGTTTGCGCATCAGCAACTGACACAGACAGTGCTTCCGCAGTCTTGCTGCAGTCTGCGCATCGTGTTCCATAATCTTCAGAAGTTCAATGCTCTTCCATCTGCAGTCCTTTGAGAATGGTTTCAGTTTAGTCATTTGTTGTCCCGTAGTTTCTGTTGCAGAGCTTTTCATTGTGTTGCGTTATTATGTCCACAGTCTTTCTGCAGTCTGCGCTGTATGCAATTAGCCTATAGTCTTCCCACTGCATTTGCTTGGTAATCCTTCTGTATTGCGTTCGTTGTTTGTTGTAGCTCCCACTAGCCTGAAACACTTGAAATCCAAGAAGGAAGCTGCAAAAACATTCAAACGAGAACCGCTTGCCATGTTTTTCGCCACCCATGTCGTAATTTACCGATGTCCAAAATATATTTTCCGGCGACCTGGGATCGCTTGCGAGTGGACTTACGCGATGGCCGGACCAGTTGCTCTAACGACCCTCCCCGTTGCGCCGTTATTGCGCCGATGAACTTTCACAATTACTGACAGGGTTGCAAGCACAAGGTTTGTCCGGGAACATGCTAGTGGTTTTCAGGACCATCAGACTACTGTAGCATTGTACTGCAACCTGCTGATGGCGAAATGTGCCGGCTATGAAGTGTGAGATGTTTCAACTGGTGGTGTGTGTGTGTGTGCGTGGCCTTTTGCAGGTAGACTGGCAACCCAAATGCAGTTTGCTTTTCCACACCATGATTGCTATTTCGATAGATTCACTGAAGCTCACAGGAGAGTGCGGTTTGAACGGCTCAGAGGCGATAGAGCAGACTTGTGTTCAAAAAGCGGCGAGTTCAGGCTCGCACTCACACGAGGACAGCTCATTGATCAGGTGTGGAATTCCAATCGACATGGGGGATAGGCAATTCCAATCGACATGAACGGATGAGGGTATTTGCTTAAACCCATAATTCAGCCCAGGGGCCCATATCATCATTCTGACTCAGATAATTTGCCCAGATTTGCAATCCAAGGCCTTTTTCAGTGGCCGCGTGGCCGTCTTTGATCCAGAGAAGAACTGCTTCATCCAAGACTTCGTTGGGCACACTGACTGCGTGCACTCAATGAAGCTGATGTGAGAGCTTGACCTGGCCTCCAAATGCCCTTGGGCGAGCCTCGACATCGAGGTTTCCTGCTGCCAAAGCTCTGCCAGGACATCAAAATGAGGCGTTTCAGCGCGAGGGCGACTAAGCAAACTTTCACATGATAATTGGAGCGATTGGCAATGCCTTTGGCGATGCTATGTTACTAGTTAGTACATGTTTTTTTGGCTTTTTGCCGACAATAGTTGCTGGAGCCGGACGGCGGCTTTGCTCGGAAGACAGATGCAGAGTGAGTTTGGCGTTTGGAGTGGGCCCTGTCTCGAAGCTGGGCGAGCCGCGACTATGAGAAATCCTCATGGCAGTATTATCCGCTGAGTCTCTCGAGCAATCTCCGTCCTTGGGCTCAAGTGGTCGCAAAGTACCGGCCATGGCGTGAGCCTGCATTCAATGACAGGCGTGTGCTGGACTCTATGTTGCGATGTTGGAATTGGCTTGTCCCATTTAATTTGATGACAGGCGTCCTGGCAAGGGTCTTGCCGTGGTTCTATCGTATTTTCTCATTGTTCTGGCCCTCGAAGCGCCAAGTCACAGGCTTTGAGCTGTTCCTCTTTTTTTTGCGCAGGCCTGACTATCATTGACAACTTCCTTGATGAGGATTTGAGGCATGAACTCCTGGAGAAGCTGCAGCTGCAGGGGCTCAGTGAGTTCGAGGAGGGCAGACACTTGGATTTACTTACAGTCCCAGGTTGAAATGTAGGCTTGCTATGTATATGATGTTCTCCTGGACATTAGCACAGGTAAGTCCGGTGTTATTTTCTTTGAACTGTTTCGATGTATTACCATACTGGTGGGGAGAGCTGTCTTTGGAAGTCTCATTTTTCTTGCAATCACACGGGGTTTGGGTATGCTTGGACGTGGCTGAGGCTGCATGATTGAAGTTGAGCTTTTCAAGCACATGAAACAACTACCGCTTGAGTTGCCAGCACTCTTTAGGAAAGCCATAGGCTCACAGACAAGGAGACCGCCACGCTTACCGTGATTATGCTTCACCCGTGTTCCAAGAATCATGGAAGAGTGGGGAGGAGGGGGGAGGAGGGTTTGGAAGTACAACCATCCTCTTGAAACATCGCCTTGACACCTGTGGGCAAGGGATGATGTTTCAAGAGGATGGTTGTACTTACAAACCCTCCCGTCCACCAGTCCATTGTTCCAAAGACGGTGCTCTCACTTCCCTTGCGCTAAGACCTCCTCGGCACCGTGAACCACGGCACGGGTCGCAAAGCGGCGGTTCCGGTGCCCGCGGATGTGGTGCGGCGGATGCAGAAAGTCGTGGGCAGCCGTGGCAGGGTGTAACTCTGACGAGATTGGGGATTTGTTTTTTGAGGATGGCCGGGCCTCCCAGCTACCTTTAAGTGCGTGTCAAATCAGTTGGCACACGGAATTCCATCGTTGAGTGCTAACTGTTTGGGCGCAGCGTAGATGGTTTGGGGATTGCCCCTGGCTTTTGTAGAGGGTAAATGGGAAACCACCCCCAAAAACGCCTCCAAACCGCAGAGTCGGCGTTTTCAGGGTGAGTCGATACCAAGGCACGGGAACACTGTGGAGCTGCCGGCGCTCATGCGCCGCGGCCTGCAAAACAGCTCGAAGCCTGGTAGGATCCCTGGGAAATGGAGCCACTGGCCCAGTGGTCCCCTTTTTTTTCTCTTTTTTTTTGGGGGGGAAGGGTTCCGATTCCTTTAAACTCAGCCAACCAGAACAGGATGCCGATTCTTTTTTTCCCCATGGCCACTGGGCATCTGAGTGGAGCCATGGGGCCCTAACTCACCGAAAGCCGCAGATCTCTGGAGCGCTCGAAAGGAGAGCACTCCGGATTCGACTAGAATTTCAAAATGTGATGGACATGACTTGAACGGGGGCTCGTGTTTTTGTTCAACAGGTGTAGTGATCTTGCAATGCTGCATTTATGAACGGGGTCATTTCAAATTTTATGTTACACGGTTGTCACAAATAATTCAAGTCAGTGCTGCGTTGAGCGACGATGCCACGATAGGAACATGCTAGTTGTAGAAGAGGGTGCCCTTTTGCGAATGAAGTTCATGCTTGCTCATGTGGTGGAGACTGTGCTACGCTGTGTTGCTTGCTGCGGCGCGCAGGGCCAGTCCCGTGCACCAATTGTAAGTTGCATTGCGGGTATTTGGAACCTGTGCTTTTGGCGTAGCATCAAAAAGTGGCAACAACATTTTCATTAATTTGCATTGTTTCTGGAAAGATCACCATTAGCTTGCGACAGGGCTCCATGGGGTTAACTTTCAATTCTCTCATGGTCGCCCGTATTTCACACATATGTCCGTGTAGGTGTGGAGTAATGTTGACCCCAGATTACTCAACCCCAGTTTATTAATAGGGAGGTGTCCGATTCTGGATTTAGTGGAGAATCATACCACTTTTGGAGGGGAACACCCCGATATCAATACACTGGGGTTGGTTAATATGGGGTCAACATTGATTCATTGATTGTCTTGTGAAGTTTGAAGCATCCAAGATTTGAGCTATGCAAGGTCCGCTCAGCTGGAGAGCCTTTGTATTATGATTAGGAGTTGGTCGCTTTTCCACAACTCATGCGATAGTTTGCCGATAACTGAGCTCTGAAATCACTTTTTGCAGCACTGCATTTGAGTCTAATTGTTTCGAATGAAATCACTTCTTTTCAGCAATCACTTCTTCCAGCCCTGAACTCACTTCTTCAAATGCAGCTTGCAATGAAACCATTCAAACAAGTTGGCCTAGAATTCAGTATGTTTACCAAAAGCAACTTGTTTGAGTGATTGTTCCCCATTCCTTCAAGGATCCTATCCGGCAAATCTCTGGTTTCTCATCGTTGTTGTTGGGAAACATTTTACACTTCTGCTTTTTGTGGTTTAGCGGTTGAAATCCCCACTTAACTGCAAAAACAACAAGTTTTTGCTCCCCCTTCCAACGTCCATCAAGAAATCTGCCCGAAAGCAACTTGTTCGAGTGATTGTTCCCCATTCCTTCAATTCTTTTCCCCCAAATTCCCCAAGAAGCCAAAGGGAAACGGACGTGGTTTCAGAATCTGCTCAGTTTTTACTCGAAACTCAGGAGCAGAGGCAATGTCCAGAGCCACCGCGACGCCTGGAACGGCCGACAGCGAGACTTCGTCCAGGGCCTCACGGTGCTGGTGTGGCTGCAGGGCGGCGGCCAACTGTTGCTTCAGGGTATCCTGGCGAAAGAGAAGGGCGCCTTATGGGTGAATGGTTTTCTTTTCTTTTGAGGGTACCCTTTCCAGGTCGGTTGATTTTGGGAGGCAACATGTTGACACACGGGTAATGTATGTATATATATATATATATATATGTATAGGTATGTATGTTATTTATATTCATGTCGCTGTATTTGCTTAGACCCAATGGTTTGGGTCTCCGAATTGTGGCATTAGTTGTAGCCATTGTCATTGCGTAGATTGGGCGCAGACATGCCCCGTGCCAAGATGCGATCTCGCTGCACAGGCTTTGAGGTTGTTTGGAACCTGGGGCAGTCTGAGAGAGCGGGGTTTGGCCCGGCTTTCTGGGCTTTCTGCTCTGCTTGCGGCTTGCGGTAGGAGATCCATCAAATCTGTGTGGCCAAGAGAGCATCCAACATCTCAGCTGTTCTCTTCATAACGGTTTGCATTCCCGGTTGCTTTAGCTTCACAGATTGATGCGGCCGCATCGGCCTTTTTTCCCACAGTTCTTGGTAGCTCATGCATCGCATTTCACTTGGCTTCAAGGGACATGCGCTGTCCGGCAGGTCGGGTGAACAGTTTGCAGAATGTCCTCTGAGGTGATGAGCAGCAACATGTGGTGGATGCCCTGCCGGGTCGCTTGGTCGCTTTCGACAACAACCGCTTCTCCCACGGGTTCCGCGGCGACGGCGGCAGCCGTGCCATGCTGGGGCCTATGGCCTGGCACCGAGGCGTCTGAAGCTTTGCGGGAGACCGTTGGACCGATGCAAACGGACGCTCTTTGTTTTCCCAGGATGGGTACCCTCCCACCAATCAACGTGGAACCTGATAGGCCACTGATAGGGAACCCCGTTAAAAGGACAAATGGTCTTTCAGGACCCCCCTGTCAGGTTCCATCTTAATTGATGAGAGTACTTGTTTTGACCGCGTTTGATCCCGGGGCAAATGATTCTAAATCGGTGTAGTCGGAAGCGCGGCGGGCAGCAACTGTTTGAATCCCAAGGCCTCGTGGCATTGAGGTTTGCTCTCTGGTCGTGATGTGGCTGTGGGTCAAAACGAATGGGATCCCATTTTGGGGTAGGTGCACCACCCATTTTAGAAACAATTTTAGTGGGGATTGGGATGTTCAGGCCATGTGTTGTTGTTCCAAAAAGCACAGACTTGATCAAGCGCCAGCAACTTGAGTCACGCACCTAGTCAACGCATAGCCGGCACCAGGTGGCTCCTTCCGTGCGGTGATGCAAGTAAGCCATGAAGAGTTTACCTGGAAGGCAATTCTTTTCTGACGCCTGGCAGCAAGGTGGGGCACATGAGCGGCAGTCGTTTGACGGGCACAAAGCGCGCGAACAGCTTAGCCTAACTAGCCAAGGCCAATTTTAGCTTTGAGCTCTAGCACAACATGCGTAGCAATCGTAGCATTATAGGGTGCGCGTGCGTATGTCTCTTGCAAAAATAGTGTGTTCCTGCATGTCGGCAATGTCATGGTTCTTGTTAGTTCATCACCCCTTTTAATTTGTTTCACTAACCCAGCTAGAAGCACGAACAAAAAGGTATCAACATATTTGCTTTTGTTGCATCCCTTGTTCTCAGAAATCCAGCTAGCTTAGCCTGATTCATATCTGTTTTAAATGGCCCCCTAAATCCAGCCAAGAGAAGGGTTTTAAAATAGTGCTAACTCATTGTTTCTCACTATAATAATTCCCAGCTGTGGGCATAAGACTACCCCGCATACTTGGGTCAGACGAAAGTTCATGCTTATTACCTGGATCCAAAAAGCTGTATCCGGTCAACCGCGAACCGAATTGGCAGATTAATCCGTGTGGCATCATTGTACATTTCAGTAGGCGTTCATGCATTGTGTATGTGTGTGTGTGTGTGTGTTTGTGTTTGTGTGTTTGTGTGGGAGTAATGCCCTTGCTTGGCGGGTGTTCAAAAATGGCATGGGAAATCACTGCTCATTTCAGCGAGAGAGTGGGCCAGAGAGCATCTCAGAAGCATGTGCTTGAACCGGCAGCCGGCGGGCCTGCCTCAACCAAGCTGTGCTACCTAGTTCGGGAGCACCATGGTTTTTATCTCCCCCTGATTTGAGGCTTTTGCGTTCTCGCTTGCAGCAGCGTTGCCAGCGTGGTCATCGCCATTCCCATATTTATCCTCCGCTTGGCGCCTCGGCTCGGAACGCCGGCACCAAAGGCCGCTTGCATGGTTTGCCACTTGCTCTTGAACATGTGTGGAAAAAAGAAAGCTAGGGACCTTCAAGTCTACTCAGCTTAGCAAGCAACAGTCACTCCGCAGCACAAGTTCAATCCTGACCAATGGAACCTCAGCTTTGGTCAGGCCAAGGCCATGTCAAGGTTGCAGAGCTGACCACTTGACGTTTTTGCCATAATGTCTGGCATCCTTTGACCGCTTTGTTCTGCCCCCGCCTTCGCAACACTATTGCACATATGAAAATGCACGCAAGTGTCGATAAAATCTACATATAAATATCTATAGTATACACATGTATAATTATATGCAGATTGAATTGTTGCGATGTTCGAGCTGCGCTGCTAAAGTGTACTTCGTGTACTGCGCCTGTACTGAGCCCAGAATGATACCATGATACCCCAATCGGAACCTGCGCGATTCGAAAGCAAGCATTTGTCCTCACCCCGCCTTCTAGTAGTTTGCCTGCCTCTTAAAGCGAGTGAAACCCCAATAGAATTCCTGCACACATGCAATTTCTGCTCTATTGATTGGCTTACAACATTCTAATTGCAAGGCGCTACATTGTAGCAAACTTTCATGAGGGTTCAAATGGACTTTTTCTTGAATGGGATTTTAAGTCGGGTTTGGGTTGGAGTGTAATTATAACTCAACTAGATCCTAGCGCAGAAAGGCAAGCTCGTTGCTTCTCCTGACTAATTTGATAAGAATTTCAGTTTCGGTTTAAATGCTAAGCCTGGACTCCTTTCCAAGTGGGATGTGAAATGGAAGCGAAATAGAAACCAGTGAGGGAAGACATGCTGCGTTGCCTTCTTACCTAGAAGTCGTATGTTCAATTGGCATTCAACCAGGAATCCCTTTCCAAGTGAGTTGTTTAGTTGAATGAAATGTTTGCTGTATCTTTTCATTTGTTTGCCCTTTAAAGGGCTGAAAGTCCAGTAGAAACCCAAAGAACTGCTGGTTCAGTTCTGTTTGTTTACAAGCTTTGAATTTCGATGCTTAAAGTTTAAGCAGGACTTCCATTCGAATTCAACTGGGCATGCCATTTGGATTTAGGTTGTAAATGGAAACTCGTTCCTTCCCAAGTAGGAAAAGCTAGATTGTTATTAGAATGTACATGTGTACAACACCTAGTGAGGAAAGTCAAGCTGGTTGTTAGTGCAAAATCAGCAGACTGGTTTGCAGGTTTTCAATTGCAAGGTTTCAGTTTTCAGTGGCATTTGTCATTGTAAATGGGTTCCTTTCCAAGTAGGAATTCGGTGGGAACTGAAACAGAGCATAGTGAGCAAACACAAGTTTCAAATGACCCGCTTCTTGCAAGAGGCGAAAAGCCGATAAAACATTTCAATGATGAATATGAAGCATCATGCAGGTTTGCCAGCTTTAAATTCCAAGGTGTTCAGTTTAAATCGGAGGTTCGATAGAGTTCAATTGGAGATAAAATGCCAGTGTGGATTCCTTTCCAAGTAACATTTCACTTAGATGCTTTCCGTCTTGCAAAGAAATGGATAGGAACTGTTTCCCACTTTGGTTTTCACTCGATCTTAATTTGACATCTTTCTTCGATTGATATTTTAAATCGAAAATCCTTCCCGCGTAGGCTTCTACTTGGAAAGTATATATATATATGTATTACTGTATATATCATATAGTTAATATAAATAGAAGCTCGTGAGGAAAATCAAGCTGGTAGTTTCTTCTGATTAATCAGTGTAGCGTACGGTCGTGCGACTCGACTGCGATTCCGATTGGAACGGGCGAGCGAGCGGACAAGTGACCCAAACACTCGCACGCCACACGCGCACCGCGCACGTTTCGCTGGAACAGAAATCAGGTCCCTTTTTTGACCTTTTTGGCTCACGAATGCTGAGTCGTCCGCTCGCTCGCCCGCTTGTGCTCGCACCCTCGCACGGAGGTTTCTCGTGCAGGAAGTATCGTAAGTGATTTTTATAACCTGGATCCAGACTGTACATATTTCTTATATGCTGCCTCCCCCCCTCCCAGGACCGACTTGAAGATGCAGGGCTGATCTTTCAGTGGAGGTTAAACAGTTATTTCCTAAAGGCAGGCCTGAAAGGAACGCCCACCTTACTCGCACAACTGCCACTCGCTGGCCCATGTAAATCCTGTAAACCTGCTTGCAACCTCACGGCACCGGCTAAATAGACATATGATATGCATACACACACATAATATATATATATATGTATATTAGGTCATGATGATATATATATATATATGTGTGCGTGTGCGCGGCAGTACGCAAGGTTCAAAAGTCGGTCAATCGGGAGGTGAGACAGCTGAGATATGTGCCATTCGCTTGCTGGTCATTCTTGACTTTTGCAATGCGGTGTTTATTTTTGCCCATGGCCTATTGAATGCCAATTCTGCCAATTCTGTGGTGTCAATCCCAAAGAGGTCAGATATGGATTTGAGAATGGTTTGATCTGGGCCCCCGGGGCGCCGAGGCTGTTAGCACTGTACGGTCCGCCATCGTGGCGCCCATTGCCGCAGCTTTGTGCTCGCTGTGCTGGACCTCTGTTGCCCCACGGCACAGATCAGAGTTTCTTTCACCAGGGCTGGGCGAGACAAGTCGGGCTGTGCTTCCGCTGGCCACCGGAGGCCATTATTTGCAGTCCTCGGCTGTTCATGGCTGCCTGCCATGATCTGCGCGGAGATGAGTGCTGCCAGGGGTTCCTGATGCTTCTGTGGCTACCGTTCCGACCTCTGGCTGCACCTCGACCAAAATCGAGCCGTACCTGCAGTCAGGTTCCAAAATGTGTTGAAGGCCTGAGCCGTCAACCAAGCCGGCTTGATTTGGGCCCAGCTGTCACCCCGTTCGTCAGGCGGTTGATTTGTGAGGGCTCGGCATGATGCTTTGTGAAATCTATTGCTTTCAGTGATTTTTTCTGAAGATGAATCAGCCCAGAGGCCTGACCTGGCGCGAGCGTAGCAGTTGCGCTTCTGAAAGTGACTGCTGCCAGGTGCTGGTGGCAGCACTCCTGTTCCTTCTAGTCTTCATACCACTCTGGATTGTCTCGTCCACAGTTTCCTACTCCGAGATCAGCCTGCTGAATTTGTTGGTTGGCGGCGTGGTGGACCTGGACGAATCCACCGGAGTGTTGGTCCCTTGGCGCGCTGAGCTGGGATAGGCGTGGATATATCTCATGTGGCCATGGTACTCACATCCAATACGGTATCCCATTTTGGGGTTTTCGGTGAATTCACCACCCATTTTAGGCTTCCTATTTTAGTGCTTGGATTGAATCGGATGTTCACTGGGGGCTAACCGGTTTTTGACTCCATGGCCATGTATCCACAGATAGATGTAAAAGGTCATGCAAAGCATGCAGCAGCAGCTGAAAGCCGCTGGCACAAGTATGATTGGATCCCTGAGCCAAGGGAGTCCTCCTCGTGCTGAGCAAAGACTGGTGGCACTACAACTGCCTCTCCGAGCCAGAAAATGCAGCACAGGTCGAGCCAGAGGTTATTGGAGTACCACAGGAATGGTCGGATGTCGTTACGCCCGTCCAGGAGTGCACATCTTTAGGATTTGGATAGGCATCTACCCAAAATATCACCGGGGCGTGGGGGGAGAGGTGGCTTCTCCACCTGGTTTGATCTCGGAGGACACGACAACCGCCACCAATTTCCGGCTGACCAGATGCTATGTCGAGGGGCACGTGAGCATGAAGGAGCAGTCTCACACTTCTTCGCTTACTCCAGAGAAACTGCCCCGCTTGTCGCAAGGAAGGTTTTATGTGCACCTGTCAGTAAGGCATGTGCAAAGGCCCCGTGCGAAAAAGCCTTCAAGCACTCCAAACATGTACCCCTAGCAATGCTGGTGAGCCGGCTGACCGGCTGGAACTGCAATTCCCCATTCACCTGCAATCACCGGCTTGCTTTGGCGTGAAGAGGGTGCCCTGAAACGCCAGGACGTGTGGGAGATTTGCCTCAGAAGGACAAGGGATCATGGCGTAGAGCTGCATAGCGCAGGCAGGGAAATGAAGGAAGGCAGGCAGAATCATTTGACACAGTTCAGGGCGAAAACCACTCAGCTTGCTTGCATGCCAGCAGGATGGGCATCCAGAACGTTGTATCCTTTGTTTGGCAGCTATTTCTGTTGCTGAGTTTGTACTGTGTTGGCCGCGGAATTGTTTGGCATCAGCTAGGGCAAAGGGCATCATGATGCCATGGCTGTTGTGGGAGCCAGGTCCTCAAGAATCCATCAACCAAGGCGTCCACCTCTGTTCAACATAGTCAGTTTTGGTGCGGGACGATTTGTGTAAACGGTTTGCAGATGTTTTGTTTTTGGCTGGCCCTTGCCAGGGGGTCAGTGGTACCCTTTCTCTTTTGTTGGATGGGTTCCCCCAACTAAACATGGTCGACCCGGCAGTTGCCAGGCTACATTACCTCCGATGATCTAGACGGCTTGGAGCCGCCACTCGCATGCGGGCCTCGACCAATCGGAACCATTCATTTCTTAGCAAACCTTCTTGTTCTGTTCAGATCTGCTCAGAATGCCCGAAGTTTACACACGCATCTTCTTCTGGTGTTGTTTTGGCAAGGCAATAGAAACCACTGGGCTCATGGGAGGGGAGGCTTTATGGTTTCCGGCATCCATTTTCCTCAAGCAGGCACAGGTCTTGCTGTAAGCTTGAGTCCAGAAAATTCCGGCGGGGGGGGGGGGGGGCAGCGCCTCAGGTTTCTTTTCATTGGTCTGCCTGCCGTAGCCGTGCTGCGCCTCATCCTGCGCTCGGAGAAAAAGGAGGGCCTGTTCTTCAGCGACCAGATGCAGGCGATGGGATTGTCCGGGGATCGGTCAATCACTCCACAGCACATGTGCTTTTTGGTTGAACTGTAAGGCGAAAGCCCATCACACCACCTCAGAGCTTCCTCCAGCATGGACACTTTCTCGCTCAGCGGCCCCTTTTGAATAACACCCTCGCAATTGTACAATACAGGCGAATATAGGCGCTCTCAAAGCTTCAAGTTTCCTACGGCATTTGACGGTCTCTTCGCGCCCGCTAGCTTCTTCCGTTCAGCCCTCGTTTGCTATTTTTGTTTCAATCTTGTTTTCAAGCCCCCCCCCGTAGCGACAGCGCGAACGACCATTGGAGCGTTCAAGCCTGGGCGTGAACCAACCGATGCGGCTGTCCAACCGCATCCCAACCTGAAGCTCACCCTATCCACGTGAAGCCGGGAATTTGCCACACCCCATCGCCGGAGTCGCGACCTGAAAATTTGGCATATCCGAGGCCGAGGTCATGAAGCCACAGCGCGCAAGTCGCCCCTGAGGTGACCCACCACAATCGACCACACAACGCCTTTGCCGACAATATTTGGCACTCGGCCATGAAGACCAAGCGCTTAGCTGCGCAGGCAAGCCCCATCTTAGATTCGGCGTCTTGGACAAAATCTTGCGTTTCGGGCCCCACAAGTTCACAAGATCTGGAGGCCTCTTCATTGGGTGAGCAGCAATGCTTGAATGTTGCAGTTGTGCTCGACAGATCGGAGCCTGTTTTGACCACTTGCCCCACAGTTGGCAATGAGCAGGAGCCAGTTTTGCTTAGCTTCTTGCTGGGGCTTTCATCCAATTCTTCAAGTGCACCGCTCTTAGGAGATGGACTTCCTGATTTACTCAGCGCTGCAACGCCCGGAGACAGAGCCGCCTTCCGAGGCGCAACCTTCGCTTGCGTTTGGACTCTGGGTACCCGCCCTCGGCGAGAAAAGCTGCTTGGAAAGGCCTGATTGCGCGGGTAGCTTCTTCCGGGAAGGGAACAGATGCGCGTGAAGCAGCAAGGGTTAGCACGGCTCGGAGGACACAGCCGTAATCCTGTGTGAGGTTTCTTCCACTGCTGAGCGCTGGTGACACGAGGGGTGCCCACTATCGCGTGCCAGGGCATTTCCAGCCTCCGGCGCAGCGAGCTGAAGAAAGTCGTCTCCGCTGCCATTGGCTTGGCGATCAACGCCTCCCGTTCTGCGCTGCTTGGCGGCACTTTGAAGCCCCGTGGTTCTGATCTGGCCATTGGGGGCCATGGGGCGTGAGGTTTTGTTCGGACACCCTCGTCTCCGGGCATGGAAAGCAGTTCAGTTGCTGCAACTAGCGACTTGGTTTCGCAGAAGTTGAATCGGCATTCACAGTAAATGACGGCAAAGCCGTTGTTCGATCATTGCGCAACATGATGTTGTGTCGCTCTTCTTATTGAATGCATTTCGTGTTATTTCATCGCCCAGCCTGCAATTTCAGTGGGCAATCATGGCTGACCCGTAACAAAAACCTGCCCTGTTGTTGGCGTGTTTGGGATTGTTACGTTTTGGGGTCTGTTCATAAAATCAAAAGGGGGGCCAAGCCGCGCGCTGCTCGAGCCGTTTTTTTTCCTCGGCGATCTCAGGAGTTTCAAGGAGTCCATCGGCTCGGTGCTGCAGGACGTGCTCCTTCAGTCGCGTGGTGAAATGCCGCGGTGACGGAGGCGCAACCCGCAATACCAAGTGTGAGCACTCAATGTGGTGCTCCTGGATGCACTGAGCATAGCGCAGGGAAAAAGGGAATCCATCTCAAAGGTATGTGGTAGTTCTGGGAGTGAACCATATTGGTATCACAGCAGTGGCTTTCAAGGACCATGCCTGAGTGGCTGGATGCCTGCGAAGCAGGCACCGAGGTGACACGAGGCGCAAAAGGTGTCGTGAGCGCTAGGTCTTTTCAAAACTATGTCTTAAGTTAGTGTCAGGATTCCCGACATCGCAGAAGTCAAAACCAACCCCTCGCTCCCGCAACCCTTTTGAGAATTTCTTGATGACACAAATCGGCGGCTGGAACGGTTTGACCACAAGTGGGCAGGAACTCCTTGACGCATTATCAAACTCATTTGCGAAGCCCAATGGCCGGAGCAAGGACGTATATACTCACTTTAAAGGTGATATCTCATTCGCCATGGGTAACCTCATTGCGAAGAGGACAGACGTGTCTTCGGTTGCCACGCCCAGTCAGTATTTGGCTGGTCAAAAATAGGTAATTAAATGGAAGCCTGGTAAATCGAAACATCCGATTCCTGGTGATTTACTTTGGGCCCATACCCAGTTCAAGGCAAAAGGTCTGACTCTCGCTGAGGCCGGATCTGAGGGACGGCTCTGGGCAGACCTGCCGCTCGATGCGATGGGCCGCTGTTGGGGTAACCATGCGACAACCCGCCCCTTTTTGCCAGCAGGGGGCCCTGTGAAGAGCTTCCTGAACCCCGACGCTGGATCATAGGACCCACAATGGTTTTCATGTTGTGAGGTGGGTCTATGGCACTGCCAAACCATTGATTCTCTGAGATATAGACCGTGCAAATTGGAGCTGGGATGACAGGTTTTAGGCTGCTTGACATACTGTGGATGGACAAAATGGTGGGGTTGCGTTCCGGTCATCATCGGCGGTGCAGGATTTGTTCAACCACTTGATGATGGATCATTGATCATTGCTCTAGAATATGACCAAGTTCACATTCGACGGGTGCTGATTGCTGCTGGCTCCATCGTAATTGATATTGGTTTGACCTGCTCCGACGAGCCCTGCGTTCCAGCAAGATATCAAGTGCCTAGTTGGGATTGTACGAATGGACGAGACCGTGCGACGCGCCCATGGCTTTTGTCTCACCCCAAGGCGCGCGCAACAGTGACCCGAACCATAGCCACTATGCCCCTCTCGGACGCTGGACGCTTGGCAGTAAGGTGGACGTTGCTTCAGGCTTTGCGCCAGTGTCGTTGAGGTCATGCCGCCCTTGAAATATCTCCGTGCCGCCCGTGGCCAGCACGTCGGCACTTGCCGAACACATCACTCAGCGCCCACCTCGTAATCCGTGAGCTCGTTGATGTAGTGAACTACCGTGTATCTCACATCCTTCCGGTCCCACTAAGAAAGAAGTGCGGTGGCGCGGCCAGCCCCGCTGATGGGGTGCGCTAGCGCCGGCCGAATCGATTCAATTGACGCCGCTTCTGCCCAGGGTGTACAGGAACGGCAACTTCAAACCACACAGGCTCATGCAAGCCCCATTCAGTCTCAGAAGGCTGAGACTGTTCTTTCTGGGCCTTACGACCTTGGCCATGCTGGGCCTGAAGTGAAACGCAGGCACTGAGGGCCCCTTAAGCAGAAAAGCAGCGCTCCACGTTTTGCGGGAGAGGATGTGCTGCGAGTAATAAGATGAAATGATGAAACTCTTTCCAGTTCACGGGTCTTGAAGAACTCTTCAGTCAGCTGTCATCGAGCCCAATTTTGCAGGCCTATCGGAAAAGCTGCGCATGTGGGGGCTTCGCGGTACTTCTAATTAAACATTGAGCTTTTGATAGAAAAGTATGTCTTTCATTGGGCGTTCCGGCGGGCGCCACAACGGATTGGGGGTCAATTTGCCAAGCTTCTAACTCAGCACTTGCTGAGTTCGGGCCACAAAAGTGGACGGCTCTTGACATTTCTTCTTCATCTCGAAACTTGCATGTGTGCTAGCCATGGTGACATTCCCAACTTGTAACCTCTTGGCACCATGTCATCACTGAGGGCCCAGCACGTGCTTTCGGAAGCTGTTGGTATGGGCACAGCTTCCGCGGAAAGCGAAACCCTGAGGCGGAACCCTTGGGACCTGGGGCCACGGCCTCGGGGAGACGCCACGGGTTTGACCGGCCGTTTCCACGGCCCTGGGAAATGGAGCAAATCCCATTGATGAGGTCAAATGCTGGCATTTTCATGGTTGTTTGCTGGCATTTGATAGTTCTTAGCTGGTATTTGGTAGCTGGTATTTATACCAGTGCATAGATTAGTTGGTATTTGATGGTCACTTTTCCCCGTCTCAAAGTGTCTTGGAAAGCGTTTGCAGAAGCTCCCTGGACCAGTTGAGTGCGCGAATGATCGATGTGCTCAGCATGCCCAGTGTGTGTGTGTGTGTGTCTTGTCCCACGCTTGCGCCGAAGCTGAAGAGAAGAGGCCAAGCTAGGTGAACACATGAGCAGCTTTTTCGTGTTTAATGCAGGAGCCAAAAAGAGAGGCGAACTGGCATGGTGGCCGCGCAGCCTACTCCTGAGACCGCTCACATGACATGAGCACTTCCCGCTTGCTTTGCTCAACATTTGAAGTCCGGAGCTTCAGCAAAATGGTCATTCAAGAAAAACACAATTGTCCCAGACACCCAGCGGTGCCTCTTCTTGTTTTTTGTCTTTTTATTATTTATTTATTTTTCTTCTCGGGGTCCGTTTAAATTGTCAACCAGCCCGTCCACCGGGCTTCCGAGTCTCGCTGGAGGCCGCCGGGCGAGTGGGGAGTGCTGGACCCCGTGACTGGCAGGAGCCGCCCCGGAGCGCTCCGCCAGCCGATGTTTGACCTGGGTAGCTCTGGGAATGCATAGCCTAGGTGCCCCAGCTAGGTGCCCTTTCTCACGCCTTTTTTAGCCAGAATCACTTTGCCAGGAATCTGATCACTTTTCGGGGCCAGCAGCCCCGTGTCATTGCCGACCTCGCGAAGGAATGTCTCAGTCCGGCGCATAGCGATCGCGCGCAATGGCTGATGTCTCCTTACGTGTTGTGTTACAGTTTTCCACATTTTCCTCTGAGAAATCCGTGGTTTGACCTTGCTTTGCCCTTGGCCTTTACCACCATATTTTTACGCAAAATGGGAAGCTCGGATGAATGCACAGGGTACCCGTCTCCGCTGTTTGATCCTTTGACGGTGGAGCCCTTTCGGCGTTTGTAGACGAACCCGCTGTACCTCAGCTGCCTCCTTTCCTGCTGAGGTCAGCTGGACGTTGAGTAGGCCGGGCGCAAGATGACGGATGCCCTGGCGTGCCATGACTAAGCTGGACAAAGACCGTGACGAGCTCGCAAGTGCTGGCTTGTGTCTCTTGTGCGGAGCAAACATATGCCGGCATGTGGCCTTGTGGCTTTGCAGAAAGCGTGCCAGTGGGCCAAACAAGTACATGCATACCAGAAGGGCTGCTGATACTGACAGCATTGCGGGCCCATGTTGGGAGTGGAATGTGCAAGCGCATTGCCAGCCCAAGCCCAGACACTTCCACCAAACCATCAACGAACCCTAGCAGCAAAGAAAATCATTGTAATCCGTATTTAAACCATTACACATCCGTCTCAGGTTACAGATCCGTCTCAGTCATTCCATGGCATCATAGCCCAGCAAGAGTTCCGCCCAGCGGAGATGAGCGCTGGCGGGAAGAGAGGTGCGAGGATGTGCGGTCGTTGCGTGCGCTTGAACCGACAGGTGTACAATAGAGCAAGCTTGCTAGCTTTTGGTTTGTTGTCCCGAGCCAATTCTGCTAGTCATGTAATTGAGGTGGTTGGTGCTGAGACTTTGCACAAGGATGCGGGTGATCCGCATTGCCTTTCTCAAACACATGTTTGTTTGATGCCCAAAGTTTACTGGAGCGTGAATCTTCCTCCATGTGGTGCCACTTTCACAATCTTATGCCGCGGGTCGTGAACTGTCCATCCATCAGTGTTGCGTAATTGTCTTTTTGCACACGTGCATCCCGAGGCGATGCTGCGCGCCAATCTTAGTTTGCAAGTGCGATTCTGCCAGAATGGCATGGTAGGAATACAGGGCACAGGGTTAGGTTTTACACTGTTTTGTAGGGATGGCTTTGCATCGCATCTAGATGTTCGGTGCATGGTGGCAATGCCTGACGCTGCTTTTTGAGCAAGGCAAACGCTTGCGAGACATAATGTAAAAGCGTATCTTGTGGAATTACTGCTGACTGCACGCATGCTTGTTGGCTCACACGATGCGGACGTCAGCCAACCAGCCAACGTGTTGGCAAATTAAACAATGCCAAGGGAGCCAAATGGAAAGTTCCCCAGCAAAAGGCAGGGAGATTCAATCAACACCTCCTCTTGGACAGCATTTCAACAGCATGCGGTTCTTTACGTTCTGCCACTGGTCGCTTCTGTGTTCAACGGCGAACCGTTATTTTACCCACTGACCCAATCTGCGCATTTGCATTCCTGTGTGGTGTGAACTCGGTGCTCTTGGCGCACAAGCTTAAGCTGATGGGGCACGACGAACGGCATTTGCCGACGGCAAGCTCGCCTGGACCAAACGGGCTCAATATGATAAACGTATGTTGCTTAGGATTTGTTTAGATACTTTAGTATTCCAGATTTTATCACGGGTTCTTTTTTCAGGTCTTGCAGTTGTTGAAGTTGCAGACCGCCCTGCCTTCACATATTCATCGGGCTGGCTCTGGCCAAAGTTGCCGGGCCATGGCCACGCTGCAAATCACGGGCTTGTCCGGGCAGAGCCTGCAGCTGGAGATGGCAAAGGAGAGCCTTGGCTGGTCAAAGGGGCTTCCGCGTCGACAGCGGCAGGTCGACCGTTGCATTGGACATGTTGTCTAGTTAGGGTGAAGGCTTGCTTATGAACGTCACTGGGCGAAGGAAAGCAGGATTCTCGAGAGCAGCTTCAGCCATGGGTGCTCGAATGATCTTTTTCACGCTGGGATCAGCATCAGACCCCAGTTGCCCGGTTCCCCTGTAAAGTCAACCAACCAAAAAAGGATGCCTTTTTTTCCCCGCATCTGAGAGACTGTCACACACAGGTCGAGCGTCAGAAACCTGAAGGCCGAGATCGAGGCCAGATGGGCGGTGCCCCAAATTTGCAGGGCGCCCCAGGCGAGCAGTTGGTGACAGCCACGTCTTGGG